TAACCAAAAAAGTGTTAAACTAATCAAAATATATTTGAGATTTGAGATTCATCAAATAGCCACCCTTTGCCTTGATGACAGCTTTGCGCACACTCTTGGCATTCTCTCAACCAGCTTCATGGGGTAGTAACCTGGAATGCATTTAAATTAACAGGTGAGATGGTTTGGGATGAGTCGGACCACAGCGTGAAGGAAAAGCAGCCAATGTGGGGACTCCTTCAAGACTGTTGGAAAAGCATTCCTGGTGAAGCTGGTTGAGAGAATGCCAAGAGTGTGCAAAGCTGTCATCAAGGCAAATGGTGGCTATTTGAAAAATCTCAAATATAGACTCCAGACCAAAGGACAAATTTCCACTGGCTTATGTCCATTGCTCGTGTTTCTTGGCCCAAGCAGGTCTCTTCTTATTATTGGTGTCCTTTAGTAGTGTTTTGTTTGCAGCAATTCGACCATGAAGGCCTAATTCGCACAGTGCCCTCTGAACAGTTGATGTTGAGATGTGTCTGTGACTTGAACTCTGTGAAGCATTTATTTGGGCTGCAATTTCTGAGGCTGGTAACTCTAATGAACTTATCCTCTGCAGCAGAGGTAACTCTGGGTCTTCCATTCCTGTGGCGGTCCTCATAAGAGCCAGTTTCATCAAAGCGCTTGATGGTTTTTGCGACTGCACTTGAAGAAACTTTCAAAGTTATTGAAATGTTCCGTATTAACTACCTTCATGTCTTAAAGTAATGATGGACTGTCCTTTCTCTTTGCTTATTTGAGCTGTTCTTGCCATAATATGGACTCGGTCTTTTACCAAATAGGGCTGTCTTCTGTATACCCCCCCCCCCCCCTACCTTGTCACAACAACTGATTGGCTCAAATGCATTAAGACAGAAATAAATTCCACAAATTAACTTTCAAGAAGGCACGCCTGTTAATTGAAATGCATTCCAGGTGACTACCTCATGAAGGTGGTTGAGAGAATGCCAAGAGTGTGCAAAGCTGTCATCAAGGCAAAGGGTGGCTATTTGAAGAATCTCAAATATAAAATATATTTTGATTTGTTTAACACTTTTTTGGTTACTACATGATTCCATATGTGTTATTTCATAGCTTTGATGCCTTCACTATTATTCTACAATGTAGGAAATAGTAAAAAATAAAGAACCCTTGAATGAGTAGGTGTTCTAAAACTTTTGACTGGTAGTTTACATATAGAATCGCAATATCGTATCGGCACCTAAATATTGTGAAATCGTATCATGAGGTCCCTGGCAATTCCCAGCCTTAGACAATATGCCTGTCTCCTAGGGAATAGGATTGTATCCCCTGTGTACCAAAGCATTGTCTCTGTCATCTCAGTTGAGGGTCCAATCTTACCTTTCTCTTTCTGACAGGGCGATCAGAGGGCAGACGACCACCACGTTGGAACACCACAGAGCCTTGCTCCCGTTCCTGGGACTAACCACGGTTCAAAGTGTGAGTGCTGATCAAAAAAGCCTAAACACCATTCTCGCTCTCTCTCTCGTATGTGTGTGTGTATGTGTATACAGTGGTGTGAAAAAGTGTTTGCCCCCTTCCTGATTTGTTTGCATGTTTTTCAGATCATCAAACAAATTTAAATATTAGTCAAAGATAACACAAGTAAACACAAAATGCAGTTTTGAAATGAAGGTTGTTATTATTAAGGGAAAACAAAATCCAAACCTACATGGCCCTGTGTGAAAAAGTGTTTGCCCCCCTGTTATAACACAACTCAACTGTGGTTTATCACACCTGAGTTCAATTCCTCTAGCCACACCCAGGCCTGATTACTGCCACATCTGTTGTCAATCAAGGAATCACTTAAATAGGACCTGCCTGACAAAGTGAAGTAGACCAAAAGATCCTCAAAAGCTAGACATCATGCTGAGATCCAAAGAAATTCAGGAACAAATGAGAAAGAAAGTAATTGAGCTCCAGCAGTCTGGAAAAGGTTATAAAGACATTTCTAAAGCTTTGGGACTCCAGCGAACCACAGTGAGAGACATTATCCACAAATGGCGAAAACATGGAACAGTGGTGAACCTTCCCAGGAGTGCCCGGCCGACCAAAATGACCCCAAGAGCGCAGCGACGACTCATCCAGGGGTCACAAAAGACCACACAACAACATCCAAAGAGCTGCAGGCCTCACTTGCCTCAGTTAAGGTCAGTGTTCATGACTCCACCATAAGAAAGAGACTGGGCAAAAATGGCCTGCATGGCAGAGTTCCAAGACGGAAACCACTGCTTAGCAAAAATAACATTAATGCTCGTCTCATTTTTGCCAGAAAACATCTTGATGATCCCCAAGACCTTTGGGAAAATACTCTGTGGACTGACGAGACAAAAGTTGAACTTTTTGGAAGGTGTGTGTCCCATTACATCTGGTGTAAAAGTAACACTGCATTTCAGAAAAAGAACATCATACCAACAATAAAATATGGTGGTGGTAGTGTGATGGTCTGGGCCTGTTTTGCTGCTTCAGGACCTGGAAAACTTGCTGTGATAAATGGAACCATGAATTCTGCTGTCTACCAAAAAATCCTGAAGGAGAATGTCCGGCCATCTGTTCGTGACCTCAAGCTGAATCGAACTTGGGTTCTGCAGCAGGACAATGATCCAAAACACACCAGCAACTCCACCTCTGAATGGCTGAAGAAAAACAAAATGAAGACTTTGGTGTGGCCTAGTCAAAGTCCTGACCTGAATCCTATTGAGATGCTGTGGCATGACCTTAAAAAGGCAGTTCATGCTCGAAAACCCTCCAATGTGGCTGAATTACAACAATTCTGCAAAGATGAGTGGGCCAGAATTCCTCCACAGCGCTGTGAAAGACTCATTGCAAGTTATCGCAAACGCTTGATTGCAGTTGTTGCTGCTAAGGGTGGCCCAACCAGTTATTAGGTTGTAGGGGGCAATCCTTAATAATAATAACAACCTTCATTTCAAAACTGCATTTTGTGTTTTCTTGTTATCTTTGACAAATATTTAAAATTTATTTGATCTGAAACATTTAAAGTGTGACAAACATACAAACAAATAAGAAATCAGGAAGGGGGGGAAACACTTTTTCACACCACTATATATATATATATATATATATATATATATACACACATACACACTGCTCAAAAAAATTAAGTGAACACTTAAACAACACATCCTAGATATGAATGAATGAAATAATCTTATTAAATACTTTTTTCTTTACATAGTTGAATGTGCTGACAACAAAATCAAACAAAAATTGTCAATGGAAATCAAATGTATCAACCCATGGAGGTCTGGATTTGGAGTCACCCTCAAAATTAAAGTGGAAAACCACACTACAGGCTGATCCAACTTTGATGTAATGTCCTTAAAACAAGTCAAAATGAGGCTCAGTAGTGTGTGTGGCCTCCACGTGCCTGTATGACCTCCCTACAACGCCTGGGCATGCTCCTGATGAGGTGGCGGATGGTCTCCTGAGGGATCTCCTCCCAGACCTGGACTAAAGCATCCGCCAACTCCTGGACAGTCTGTGGTGCAACGTGGCATTGGTGGATGGAGCGAGACATGATGTCCCAGATGTGCTCAATTGGATTCAGGTCTGGGGAATGGGCGGGCCAGTCCATAGCATCAATGCCTTCCTCTTGCAGGAACTGCTGACACACTCGAGCCACATGAGGTCTAGCATTGTCTTGCATTAGGAGGAACCCAGGGCCGCACCAGCATATGGTCTCACAAGGGGTCTGAGGATCTCATCTCGGTACCTAATGGCAGTCAGGCTACCTCTGGCGAGCACATGGAGGGCTGTGCGGCCCCCCAAAGAAATGCCACCCCACACCATGACTGACCCACCGCCAAACCGGTCATGCTGGAGGATGTTGCAGGCAGCAGAACGTTCTCCACGGCGTCTCCAGACACTGTCACGTCTGTCACGTGCTCAGTGTGAACCTGCTTTCATCTGTGAAGAGCACAGGGCGCCAGTGGCGAATTTGCCAATCTTGGTGTTCTCTGGCAAATGCCAAACGTCCTGCACGGTGTTGGGCTGTAAGCACAACCCCCACCTGTGTATGTCGGGCCCTCATACCACCCTCATGGAGTCTGTTTCTGACCGTTTGAGCAGACACATGCACATTTGTGGCCTGCTGGAGGTCATTTTGCAGGGGTCTGGCAGTGCTCCTCCTGCTCCTCCTTGCACAAAGGCAGAGGTAGCGGTCCTGCTGCTGGGTTGTTGCCCTCCTACGGCCTCCTCCACGTCTCCTGATGTACTGGCCTGTCTCCTGGTAGCGCCTCCATGCTCTGGACACTACGCTGACAAACACAGCAAACCTTCTTGCCACAGCTCGCATTGATGTGCCATCCTGGATGAGCTGCACTACCTGAGCCACTTGTGTGGGTTGTAGACTCCGTCTCATGCTACCACTAGAGTGAAAGCACCGCCAGCATTCAAAAGTGACCAAAACATCAGCCAGGAAGCATAGGAACTAAGAAGTGGTCTGTGGTCACCACCTGCAGAACCACTTCTTTATTGGGGCTGTCTTGCTAATTGCCTATAATTTCCACCTGTTGTCTATTCCATTTGCACAACAGCATGTGAAATTGTGTCAATCAGTGTTGCTTCCTAAGTGGACAGTTTGATTTCACAGATGTGTGATTGACTTGGAGTTACATTGTGTTGTTTAAGTGTTCCCTTTATTTTTTTGAGCAGTGTATATATATGACTATCGCTGATTCTCTCTTCACCTCCTTCACCCTGTTCTTCCTCCTCTCAGATTTCTGTACAGGTCCGAGTGCGCCCATGCAGAACCACATGAAATGAATAAAGCACCACAGCCTTTAACGGGATCCCCATCTGCCCCCCACCCTGTCCCCTCCCCTGGACTCCAACAGGTAATGGGAATCTACTGTCTGTTTTGATTGGGGCTTCAATCTTGTCTCATGGTTGTTTGTCCAATCAGTAACCATATTGTTGATCACGGTCTCTCCCCTCCTTTCCTCTCCCTTTCACAGCCCAACTTCCCTCCTGGACAACCCCCCTCTGTTGTCTTTGCCACCCCACCGCCACAAATGAACCCAGCGCCACAGCCCCGACAGGTACGTCCGCCGTCACCCAACAGCTTAATCTCTGACTTCGCTTATTATTTAAATTGTCAGTTGTTTGTCCCATGTGCTGTGTCTTAATCCATTGGTAGGAGTGTAGATCCTGTTTAGGGCTGTTGCGGTGACCGTATTACCGCCACACTGGCGGTCACGAGTCATGAAGGCAGTCAAATTCCACGTGACTGTTTAGTCACGGTAATTAGGCTTCTCCAAGCTCTGATGCTGCTGATGGTCATTAGTAGCCTACCAAACTTGCTAACTGCCTGGTACTCAGCACTCTATTGTCCCTCTAATCACTCTGACATCAATGCAAATGTAATCGAAAATCTAATCAAACACTTCATGACAGCCCATGAGCTCATGTTGCGCAACATTTCTATAGGCTATGCAATTGCGTGAGAAAACAGTGATGGCCTCTATTAAGAGGAGGAGGGTCCCATTAGCTTTCTATAGGCTTACTATATTTATTTCTCAACTTTCCAAATATTAAGCACATTGCATCTCTTTACAACAGGAGTATAGCCTACCTGGCTGGCATGAAAATGAACCACGGAAAAAGCGTCCTCCATTCCCTATTTAAGTGTATAGATTACATGAATTTTTTCCCACTGCCCCTGTTTCGAGACCGGTGCATGATAATGGTCCATTCTAAATCAAAACAAATTTCACACATGTATTATTTAGTATAATATGCTAAATATGCTAATTATTTAATATATGTAAAGACAAGATTAAATCAAGAATATATAGTCTGATGGGTGACTATTAGCCTAACACTTGTGAATTATATATTATCACTTGTGAATGATGCCCAGCGTAAGGCAGGAAACAATGCCTTTTTTTGGCGACTTTTTCGAATCATAGTTGCATGCCTCATGTAGCCTAGCCCATAGGCCTATACGTTTTGATAAGGTTTGTATCATTAACTAAAGTGGCCAAATAACTTATTAAAATTAAGCACATTAATCAATTTTACAAGGGGTGTAGAGCCTAACTGGCATACATAAGCAGTGTGTGAGTTTCAAGTTTGGGGAAGATAATTTTCACCATAAAAATGCACCATTATAAGGAAAGCATTACATGCATAAATGCATTTGTGGTCACTTTTGAGAATGGTGTTTTCCTGCAAATGCAACATTAGTGCTTATAGCCTACTGCTGTGTGTGCATTGCAGCGCATATAATGTGAAGACATAGCCTAATAGTTTATCAACATTTTAAGCTATGTTCTGATCTGTTGCGTCAGCCTCATTGCGTAAAACAGGTTTTTTGATGCTAGTGGTTGTATTAATTTGGGGTCTATCGCATTCCACAACTGTCCCAGACTATGTTTGGAATATTTATTTATCACACAGAGTATAATAGGTCAACTTTTGTACTATGGGGAATAGTAGATTGACATAGGCTAGTGCTTTTGCTGTTCGTTAAGCCTACTCATCTTGTTGGCTGGTGGATTTTTTTTGGGGAAATTTCTTCCAATATCTTCAATATGCACCTCGGAATTGGATAAGGACGCAGTTGTCTCCGATGTCTGTCTTCATTTGTACAGTCGTGGTCAATAGTTTTGAATGACACAAATATTAATTTTCACAAAGTCTGCAGCCTCAGTTTTTATGATGGCAATTTGCATATACTCCAGAATGTTATGAAGTGTGATCCCTGGTAAAAGTCCCTCTTTGCCATGAAAATGAACTTAATCCCCCCAAAAAAACATTTCCACCGCATTTCAGACCTGCCACAAAAGGACCAGCTGACATCGTGTCAGTGATTCTCTCGTTAACACAGGTGAGAGTGTTGACGAGAACAAAGCTGGAGATCACTCTGTCATGCTGATTGAGCTAGAATAACAGACTGGAAACTTTAAAAGGAGGGTGGTGCTTGAAATCATTGTTCTTCCTCTTGTTAACCATGGTTACCTGCAAGGAAACACGTGCCGTCATCATTGCTTTGCACAAAAAGGGCTTCACAGGCAAGGATATTGCTGCTAGTAAGATTGCACCTAAATCAACCATTTATCGGATCATCAAGAACTTCAAGGAGAGAGGTTCAATTGTTGTGAAGAAGGCTTCAGAGCGCCGAAGAAAGTCCAGCAAGCGCCAGGACCGTCTCCTAAATTTGATTCAGCTGCGGGATCGGGGCACCACCAGTGCAGAGCTTGCTCAGGAATGGCAGCAGGCAGTTGTGAGTGCATCTGCACGCACAGTGAGGCTAATACTTTTGGAGGATGGTCCAGAGCGACTTGAAAATTGGTGCATTCACCTTATAGCCAGTGGGATAACCACTTTACAATATATGTATATATATTTTATTTTATTTTTTGGTGGGGTAAGGGATTACTTTATCCTATCCCAGGTATTCCTTAAAGAGGTGGGGTTTCAAGTGTCTCCGGAAGGTGGTGAGTGACTCCGCTGTCCTTGGCGTCGTGAGGGAGCTTGTTCCACCATTGGGGTGCCAGAGGAGTGAACAGTTTTGACTGGGCTGAGCGGGAACTGTGCTTCCGCAGAGGTAGGGGGGCCAGCAGGCCAGAGGTGGATGAATGCAATGCCCTCGTTTGGGTGTATGGACTGATCAGAGCCTGAAGGTACAGAGGTGCCGTTCCCCTCACAGCCCCTTACAATGTATTAAAAATCAAAACATGTAGCCCAACGTTTGTAGAACAACTGAAGTTACATTAATAACTCTAAATTAAGCATATAGGAGTACCTATTTCTTTGTTAACCGCTTAACACAGAATAGCCGCATGTGCTATTCCCTCAAATCGTTTGGAGAAAATATCCTTTCTATTTTATTCTGCTTTGTTCAATTGTATTCTTCATACTATAAAATAATGCCACAGAATTCTAAGCAAATCTTGTCTGCTAAATGAACTAGTGTAGCCCACAGCCATATGGCATAGCCAGATCAGGACCTAACATAAGGACAACTCAGAGTATGCCATTATGTTCTTCTGAAATAGACTACATTTTCTTCATATCATGTTTTTTTAGACCTGGATTTATTGTGAAGGTGTAGGCTATATTACATGGCTATACACTGCTCAAAAAAATAAAGGGAACACTTAAACAACACAATGTAACTCCAAGTCAATCACACTTCTGTGAAATCAAACTGTCCACTTAGGAAGCAACACTGATTGACAATACATTTCACATGCTGTTTTGCAAATGGAATAGACAACAGGTGGAAATTATAGGCAATTAGCAAGACACCCCCAATAAAGAAGTGGTTCTGCAGGTGGTGACCACAGACCACTTCTCAGTTCCTATGCTCCCTGGCTGATGTTTTGGTCACTTTTGAATGCTGGCGGTGCTTTCACTCTAGTGGTAGCATGAGACGGAGTCTACAACCCACACAAGTGGCTCAGGTAGTGCAGCTCATCCAGGTGGCACATCAATGCGAGCTGTGGCAAGAAGGTTTGCTGTGTCTGTCAGCGTAGTGTCCAGAGCATGGAGGCGCTACCAGGAGACAGGCCAGTACATCAGGAGACGTGGAGGAGGCCATAGGCGGGCAACAACCCAGCAGCAGGACCGCTACCTCCGCCTTTGTGCAAGGAGGAGCAGGAGGAGCACTGCCAGAGCCCTGCAAAATGACCTCCAGCAGGCCACAAATGTGCATGTATCTGCTCAAACGGTCAGAAACAGACTCCATGAGGGTGGTATGAGGGCCCGACGTCCACAGGTGGGGGTTGTGCTTACAGCCCAACACCGTGCAGGACGTTTGGCATTTGCCAGAGAACACCAAGATTGGCAAATTCGCCACTGGCGCCCTGTGCTCTTCACAGATGAAAGCGGGTTCACACTGAGCACATGTGACAGACGTGACAGAGTCTGCTGCCTGCAACATCCTCCAGCATGACCGGTTTGGCGGTGGGTCAGTCATGGTGTGGGGTAGCATTTCTTTGGGGGGCCGCACAGCCCTCCATGTGCTCGCCAGAGGTAGCCTGACTGCCATTAGGTACCGAGATGAGATCCTCAGACCCCTTGTGAGACCATATGCTGGTGCGGTTGGCCCTGGGTTCCTCCTAATGCAAGACAATGCTAGACCTCATGTGGCTGGAGTGTCAGCAGTTCCTGCAAGAGGAAGGCATTGATGCTATGGACTGGCCCGCCCGTTCCCCAGACCTGAATCCAATTGAGCACATCTGGGACATCATGTCTCGCTCCATCCACCAACGCCACGTTGCACCACAGACTGTCCAGGAGTTGGCGGATGCTTTAGTCCAGGTCTGGGAGGAGATCCCTCAGGAGACCATCCGCCACCTCATCAGGAGCATGCCCAGGCGTAGTAGGGAGGTCATACAGGCACGTGGAGGCCACACACACACTACTGAGCCTCATTTTGACTTGTTTTAAGGACATTACATCAAAGTTGGATCAGCCTGTAGTGTGGTTTTCCACTTTAATTTTGAGGGTGACTCCAAATCCAGACCTCCATGGGTTGATAAATTTGATTTCCATTGAGAATTTTTGTGTGATTTTGTTGTCAGCACATTCAACTATGTAAAGAAAAAAGTATTTAATAAGATTATTTCATTCATTCAGATCTAGGATGTGTTGTTTAAGTGTTCCCTTTATTTTTTTGAGCAGTGTACTTTTTAAAATGTGGATGTTCCAAATGACTGCATCAGTGGCTTGTAGGCTATGTGTGGAAGCCAGGAGATGCTAAATGTGTTTATGTTTATTAACGGGTCAATTACCGTGAGACCAGCAGTTATTTGCTTGATAATCACCGGCTGACGAAATTTCGTGACTGCCACAGCCCTAATTCTGCTACATGTACACTCTCACTCTTTCCTACAAATAAGCTCTCCTGTTGATTCCATATCTTACTGTTTTAGCGCTCAGTGAGTGTACGTTCCACACTCCAACCTGTCATCGTTACTGCTGGAACGCAAAATCATTATCTCAGATGAGACCTGTATTGTGTTCTGAATCCTCTTCTTGATCCCTGCTCCATGCCTGCCTATCTGTGTGTGTGTGTGTGTGTCAATGGAGGAGGGTTGTATCTGCTGCGCTCCAGCTGGTGTCCTATGTGGGTTTAACCTGTGACCTGTCTTGTTCTCCTTTTCTAGTTCGTCCCCGGGCCCCGTGCTTTACACCAACAGGTACTAACAGCCTAACCAGGGACTTGGGTGGGCTGGGTTGAAATAGGGGGCAGTTTGAGTTCTCTCTTCACTTGAATTTCATGTCTTCCTCAACTGTTTCTGAGCACTGAATGTTGTAAAACCTACACTTATGTTTATTATGGGAGGCTAAGAGATTGCATCTTCTGCAGAATCCTATTCATGGGATCCGCCATTCATTGGGAACTTGTCATGTTCACACACACACCAGGGTTTCCGTTAGCCGGTAATTATTGGCTTTTGTCCGATTGAGCCTTTGAGTAGAAAATCTGTCAAACAGCACAAGAGCTTCTGCTGCAGCATCTTGTGGTGCTTTCAACGAACCTACCAGGTACAACCCTAAATCCGTAAACATGTGTACCCTCATTGATATCATCCTGACTAACTTACCCTCTAAATACACCTCCGCTGTCTTCAACCAGGATCTCAGCGATCACTGCCTTATTGCCTGCGTCCGTAAAGGGTCCGCGGTCAAACGACCACCCCTCATCACTGTCAAACGCTCCCTAAAACACTTTAGCGAGCAGGCCTTCCTAATTGACCTGGCCCAGGTATCCTGGATGGATATAGATCTCATTCCATCAGTATAGGATGCCTGATTGTTCTTTAAAAGTAATTTCCTCTCAATCTTAAATAAACATGCCCCATTCAAAAAATACAGAACTAAGAACAGATATAGCCCCTGGTTCTCCTCAGACTTGACTGCCCTTGACCAGCACAAAAACATCCTGTGGCGTACTGCATTAGCATCAAATAGCCCCCGCGATATGCAACTTTTCAGGGAAGTTAGGAACCAATATACACAAGCAGTCAGGAAAGCAAAGGCTAACTTTTTCAAACAGAAATGTGCATCCTGTAGCACTAACTCCAAAAAGTTTTGGGACACTGTAAAGTCCATGGAGAATAAGAGCATTTCCTCCCAGCTGCCCACTGCACTGAGGCTAGGAAACATTCACCACTGATAAATCTACAATAATCGAGAATTTCAACACCTGGCTACCACTACCCCGGCCACCAGCTCTGCACCCTCTGCTGCAACATGCCCATGCCCCCCCCCCCCCCCCCCTTCTCCTTCACACAAATTCAGACAGCTGATGTTCTGAAAGAGCTACACAATCTGGACCCCTACAAATCAGCAGGGCTAGACAATCTGGACCCTTTCTTTCTAAAACTAGCCGCCGAAATTGTCGCAACCCCTATTACTAGCCTGTTCAACCTCCCTTTCGTAACGTCTGAGATCCCCAGTGATTGGAAAGCTGCCGCGGTCATCCCCCTCTTCAAAGGTGGTGACACTCTAGATCCAAACTGTTACAGACCTATATCCATCCTGCCCTGCCTTTCGAAAGTATTTGAAAGCCAAGTTAACAAACAGATCACCGACCATTTCGAATCCCCCGTACCTTTTCCGCTATGCAATCCGGTTTCCGAGCTGGTCATGGGTGCACTTCAGCCACGCTCAAGGTCCTAAACGATATTATAACCGCGATCGCTAATAGACAGTACTGTGCAGCCGTCTTCATCGACCTGGCCAAGGCTTTCGACTCTGTCAACCACCGCATTCTTATTGGCAGACTAAATAGCCTTTGTTTCTCAAATGACTGCCTCACCTGGTTCACCAACTACTTCTCAGATCAGTTCAATGTGTCAAATCGGAGGGCATGTTGTCTGGACCTATGGCAGTCTCTATGGGGGTGCCACAGGGTTCAATTCTTGGGCCGACTCTTTTCTCTGTGTATATCAATGATGTCGCTCTTGCTGCTGGTGACTCTCAGATCCACCTCTACGCAGACGACACCATTTTGTATACATCTGGCCCTTCATTGGACACTGTGTTGACAAACCTCCAAACGAGCTTCAATGCCATACAACACTCCTTCAGTAGCCTCCAACAGCTCTTAAACACTAGTAAAACTAAATGCATGCTCTTCAATCGAACGCTGCTGGCACCCGCCCACCCGACTAGAATCACTACTCTCGACGGGTCTGACCTAGAGTATGTGGACAACTACAAATACCTAGGTGTCTGGTTAGACTGTAAACTCTCCTTCCAGACTCACATTAAGAATCTCCAATCCAAAGTTAAATCCAGAATCGGCTTCCTATTTCGCAACAAAGCCTCCTTCACTCATGCTGCCAAACATGCCCTCGTAAAACTGACTCTTACCGATCCTTGACTTCGGCGATGTCATTTACAAAATAGCCTCCAACACTCTACTCAGCAAATTGGATGTAGTCTATCACAGTGCCATCCGTTTTGTCTCCAAAGCCCCATACACTACCCACCACTGTGACCTATACGCTCTTGTTGGCTGGTCCTCATTACATGTTCGTCGTCAAACCCACTGGCTGGCCATCTATAAAACAAAAATAAAAGACAACTGGGAACTCTGGTAAAATACAAGTCAGTGATCTTCAGGTCGGAAATCGGAGCTCTTGAAAGAGGGCGGGTTGGAATTCCGAGTTTGGATGACCGAAACTATTTTTCCCAGTCTGACAATTTTTTTCCAAGTTGTCTTGAACGCACTGAAGTTGGAAGTCAGATTTCCGAGTTCCCAGTTGTTTTGAAGGCGGCGTCAAACGGCAACGGAGGGCAGGCTTCATCAGCGCGTCATACACCACTTTGCAGTGAGCTGGAGGCAACGTGCATTTAGAAGACCTACTTAATTGTTTGAAATCTGAACGTTTTAATATATACACTGAACAAAACTATAAACGCAACATGAACAATTTCAAAGATTTAACTGAGTTACAGTTCATATAAGGAAGTCAGTTAGGCCCTAATCTATGAATTTCACATGACTGGGAATACATATATGCATCTGTTGGTCACAGATACCGTGTAAAATTAAAATATGAGCGTGGATCAGAAAACCAGTCCGTATCTGGTATGGAACTCATCACGGTATCTCTGTGCATTTAAAATTGGCATCAATAAAATGCAATTGTTTGTTGTCCGTAACTTATGCCTGCCCATACCGTAACCCCACCGCCACCATGGGGCGGGCACTCTGTTCACAACGTTGACATCAGCAAACCGCTCGGCCACCTGCTCGCCCACCCGACTGCCATCTGCATGGTACAGTTGAAACCATGATTCATCTGTGAAGAACACACTTCTCTAGCGTGCCAGTGGCCATCGAAGGTGAGCGTTTGCCCACTGAAGTAGGTTACGATGCCGAACTGCAGTCAGGTCAAGACCCTGGTGAGGACGACAAGCACGCAGATGAGCTTCCCTGAGACGGTTTCTGACAGTTTGTGTAGAAATTCTTCGGTTGTGAAAACCAACAGCTGTCCGGGTGTTAGGTCTCAGACGATCCTGCAGGTGAAGAAGCCGGATGTGGAGGTCCTGGGCTGGCGTGGTTACACGTGATCTGCGGTTGCGAGGCCAGTTGGACATACTTTCTCTAAAATGACGTTGGTGGTGGCTTATGGTAGAGAAATTAACACAATTCTCTGGCAACAGCTTTGGTGGACATTCCTGCAGTCAACATGCCAATTGCACTCTCCCTCAAAACATGAGACATCTGTGGCATTGTTGTGTGCCAAAACTGCACATTTTAGTGGCCTTTTATTGTCCCCAGCACAAGGTGCACCTGTGTAATGCTGTTTAATCAGCTTCTTGATATTCCACACCTGTCAGGTGGATGGATTATCTTGGCGAAGGAGAAGTGCTCACTAACAGGGATGTAAACACATTTCTGCACATAATTTGAGAGAAATAAGCTTTTTGTGTGTATGGAAAATGTCAGGGATCTTTTATTTCAGCTCATGAAACATGGTGCCAACACTTTACGTGTTGCTTTTATATTTTTATTCAGTATATTGAGGCATGTCTTACCTTGCTTCAAATTAGCCTATTAGATCTCCTCTCTTTAAAAATGTCTAACGATATTTTCATCTCTGTCACATGAAACCGCTCGCATGTGCAGTGTCCTGTTGACAACTACGGTTTGACAACTACGGTTTCTGGCTAATAGACTACTGCCTTGTGCGTATTGCTGCGCTTATAATGTGAATAAATAATATTTAATCAACATTCTAAGTTAAAAGTTCTAATCTGTTGCGTCAGACTCATTGCTTTCTGTTTAAAAAATAAATAAATAATTATGTAGCCTAGGCCCACTGGATGTATGAATTTGGGATCTGTCATCCCACAACTGTCCTTGAGTCTGTTTGGAATAGGCCATTTCTTTCTCAACAAGCTGACCAATAGAATAAGTAGCCTAAACTTTTCTACTATAGATTGACATAGGCTAGTGATTTTTGCTGTTGGTTACTCGTCTTGTTGGCTGAGAAAGTAAATGTGGACAGTTATTCTAACATGTTCAAAGTGCATATCATAATTCAGTAAGAAGGACTGTAAATCGTTTCATTCTCAACTTGCATGTTCTGTTAATATGAATTACCGTAATCTAAATGTGATTTTTGTCATTCTGAGCAAAGTGAGTGGACGCCCTAATCAGGTTATGCATCCAATGCATATTGGTCCGGTAAATTTCAAAAATGTCAAATGTCCGTCGCCACATTTTCCTAACGGAAACCCTTATACACACACTGACTCCGTGCCCTACGTTAGCTTTGCGCATGGACACAGTTGCTCACACACCTGCATTTTTAGGGACTAGGGATGTGTTCTGGCTTATGCATGCTGCTTGTTAATTCACTGCTGGGGAGGTGGTGGGGGTAGGTTCTCTGCTTTCTGTCAACTGACTGCCGCTCTCTCACTCCCTCTCGTCCCCCCCCCCCCTCTCTCTCTTGCATCCGTGTGTGTCTGTTCATGTGTTGTCTGTGTGATGTGCTGCTGAAGGGAGGATTCAGGTCACTGCAGGTAACACTTCTCCTCTTTTTCCAGAGGAGTCGGTCTGTCTGTAGTTGGCAGTGTTCCTGCCTGTGGTCCTGGCATCATTCTTTTTGGCTTCAGTTTTGCTTAAAGAGACCCATCAGAATGTAAATGAAGCAACACAGAACGTTCTAGTCTTATTTGGTTTTTAGAGGTTTGGATTCTGCCTTTATGAACAGACTGTTAAAGTGTCAGTACAGGCTGTTAAAATGTCAGAACAGACTGTTAAAATTGTTGTAGTATTAACTGCCATAAGGAATGGCAAGGGGAAATATAATAGCCCTAATTAAAGTTTTAATTGTTGAATGTTCTTTACATAAGAGGAGACTTTTCCATAACTTGCCCCTCTCTCCTCCTCTCCTACATTTCTCCAGCCGTACTACAGCCGGCCCAGCAATGCCCCCCGGGTGCCCCCCAGCAGCACGCCGAGGCCCGTGGCGCCCACACACGTCTACCAGCCGGGCCAACAGATGATGATGATCCCCTCACAGCAGATCCCTTTCCCCAACCAACAGGGCCCCGCCTACTTCATACCCGGACAGGTAACCCCCCCCCCCCCCCTCCAACAGGGTGCTCCATCTATACTAGTGGCCACTCATTCTCTTTACTCAGACATTCACTATACCTTTTGGGACTGTTCCTTTGCGCCATGCAAGCTCAATCAAGCGCAGTTATGGTACTTGGAAAGAAAGGAAACCAGGTCCGGTAACAACTAGCAAGGCAGTCCCCCTCCCCGTCTGTGAGGGAGGCCCCACATGGAGTGGTCTGCCTCCCCCTGGCTCAGGGACAGATTCTGCTGAGTCTGGGGCTCCGCTCTATGGAGCCAGTGCTGGGACAAAAGCCCCTCTCCCTTCCCTCTGGCCGTGGCCAGGCGATCAGCTGACCCTCCAGTCCCTTCCTGATTGTGCAGCGCTTAAAAGCACCACAGAGAAAGAGAGAGGGATGGGTGTTACTGTGTGTTAGACGGAGGTAGAGGGGTATAAGTTCAATATTAAGAGAGGTAGTCCTGCCACAGCTTATTGGCCTTCAAAACCACACAAGTGTGTGTGTGTGTGTGTGTGTGTGTGTGTGTGGAACAAAGAAAGGTATAGGTGTGTGTTGAATGAGTTAGATCAATACTAGTTGGCAGGCTGTCTTTGCACCTTTTCCATCCTACCCATTGTTCTTTTGTAGTTGAGCTTTAGTTTGCCTTGAATACTCTGGGCTTGCGGAACATTTTACAATGTACATTTAGATTATCTTATATCTAAACCATTCTGACATGTCTCTCTCCCTCAGTACCGGTCAACGTACGTGGCCACCCCTCAGCAGTACCCGGTCCCGCCGGGCACCCCAGGCTTCTACCCAGGCACCAGCCCAGCTGAATATGGTATGTATGGTAAGAGGCTCTGTTTGGGGCCTCGCCTGCCGATACCCTCCTTTACCCAACACCACAGGCCTCAGCCTAACACCGCTCTCTCCTGGACACACTGAAAACAGGGATGTCAATTCCTGAGATTAATTTAAAAGTATTTTCAACAGAATTTCAATTCACTGAATTCAAGTGAAATTGAGTTCAACACTGACACACAGGTCAAATTCCAAAGCTGTTACTTATTTCGGCACAAATAAGTAATTCCCAACAGTGTTGTCTATTCCAAATTTCCTGACTTCCCTGTTTATTTTGTCCAGGAACGAAGGCCTCTGGGCTGGTGATGCAGAGTTTGACTGCCCTCTAGGGGTATGTGTTCGCCAGTACAGGGGCTATAGAAAGCTCACTGGTTGTCCTGAAAACAAGCTTGGTGACCCTGCTCACAAGCCTGTGAGCTATGTAGTGGCTTAGTCTGTCTGTACAGTTCATACATTTCAACATTGACCAGCCATGGTCAGAGCAGTCCATATATGAAATCTACTTTAGAAATGTTATCCAAGTCTTGACATATATTACTCCAACATGGTTAACAAGATGGTTGATTGTAAAGAAAGTTTTGAGAGAGCGGGAAATTCATGTGTGGTTGGTTGTGTGTGGATATATAAATTTTTAGAATTTGTCCTCGTGGTGCCAGTCTAATATAATTAGTTTGTGTGCTCACACTAGTCATGTGCTCTCTCAATGCCTCACAAAGGTACTGACTCTCATGCTGTCGCATACTGTACTCGCACCTGGCTAACACATGCACTGTCACACATACTTAAATTCCCATGCACCAGTCTCACACTGACTCCCTGTTTGTCTGGCCTTCTGCAGCCATGGACAGACAGACAAACGTGCACAGAGCCTCTGCCTGTGTGTGTGTTTTGAGACTGCAGTGCTAAGTTGATTTGGGGTAGGAATGTATTTGGGTCTGCTCCAATAAGCTTCTGGCTGAGACCAAGTCCAGGAGGAAGGGAAGTGAATGTGTCCTCAGGCTCAGCTCACTGCTGCTTCTTCCAGTTCGGCATGAACTACTAGTCTTGGGGCTGGTGCTCTGGAGGTGTGTAACACTCAAATACCTCCCCTCAGTGCCTCACAGATTTGTCTTGCTTCCATTTGGCCCCCTAGCTAGCTCCTTCTCCCATTCGCTGTTTTAAAATACCTGAAAGGACTGGATATGTGTAAGCAGTATGGTGATGGCTCCGCCGGCCTAGCTCATCAGTAGGCAAAGTGGAGCTTCCTCTTTACTGTTTTCACCTAAACAGTCCTCTGAGATTTTCACTCCTGAGGGAGTGGGAATTAGAGGGCTAGATAGAAGCAGATCAAGTACATGTTAGCTGGTGAGGGATTTAAATTGAAAGGGGCCTATGTAGTGCAGTGGTGATCATTCCAGAAATGCCCCTTCATTTCATCCCCTCAAGCCCACACCTTTGATTTGAAATGCCCAGTATGTGGCACCAGTCTATGATTTTGTTTGGTGTTGTTGTAACTAGGGCTGTTACAGTGACAGTATTACCGCCACACCGGCAGTCACCAGTCATGTAGCTCAGCTGGTAGAGCACGGCGCTTGTAACGCCAAGGTAGTGGGTTCGATCCCCGGGACCACCCATACACAAAAATGTATGCACGCATGACTGTAAGTCGCTTTGGATAAAAGCGTCTGCTAAATGGCATATTATTATTATTATTATGACCGCAGTCAAATTCCACGTGACCGTTAAGTCACGGTAACTAGGCTATTCCAAAACTGTGCTCTGATGGTCATTAGTATCCTATCAAACTTGCTAATGGCCTTGTACTCAGTGCTCTATTGTCCCTCTAATCACTGACATCAATGCAATCGAAATCAAATACTTCATGAGAGCCGTGGCACTCAGCGTTTGTGCAGAATCACCTGTTGCGCTGCGAGAGCCAGCTCCTCATAGCTGGCATGAAAATGAACCATGGGAAAAGCGTCCTCCAATTGCCATTCAAGTGCATACAGGTGACGTCTTTTTTGCCCCTGTTCCGACAGGTGCTTGAAAATTGCCCATTTTTGTAAATCAACTAATTTCACACACATTATTTTGTATATGTAAAGACCAGATTAAATTGAGAATAGTCTGAAGGGTGAGAATATTATCACTTGCGAATGATGCCCAGCATGTGCAGACTAAAAGGCAAGAAACAGTACAATACATTTTCAAATCATAGTCGCAATCATCATGTAGCCTAGCCCATAGGCCTATATGTTTTGATAAGGTTTGTATCACAACTAAAGTGGCCAAATAACTCCAAATGTAGCTTATAGGCCTAGGACTGCTGGAACAGGGTTAGAGAGCCCATAGCCTACAGATCCTAGTGAAACATCTGTTCTTATAAGCCCAGTCATTGCACAATTGCGTGTGAAAACAGAGTTTTGACTGGCCGCTATTTAAGACGATCCCAGCTTTCTCGTGCTGCTATATTTATTGCACAATTCTTTAAATTAAACACATTGATCCGCTTTACAACCAGTGTAGACTACCTGGCATATTACAAATGTAACCTTCGGAAGCGGTTCCTACTTGAGTGCAGGCTACGGAAGACACTTTTTTTTGTGGGCCATTCCTAAATACAAAATAATTCCAGAAATACACTACATGGCCATATGTTTGTGGACACCCGCTTGTCGAACATCTCATTCGAAAATCATGGGCATCAATATGGAGTTGGTCCCCGCTTTGCTGCTATAACAGCCTCCACTCTTACATTTACATTTAAGTCATTTAGCAGATGCTCTTATCCAGAGCGACTTACAGTTAGTGAGTGCATACATTATTTTTTTATTTTTCATACCCCCGTGGGAATCGAACCCACAACCCTGGCGTTGCAAACGTCATGCTCTACCAACTGAGCTACATCCCTGCCGGCCATTCCCTCCCCTACACTGGACGACGCTGGGCCAATTGTGCGCCGCCCCATGGGTCTCCCGGTCACGGCCGGCTACGACAGAGCCTGGATTCGAACCAGGATCTCTAGTGGCACAGCTAGCACTGCCTTAGACCACTGCGCCACTCGGGAGGTTCTCTCTGGGAAGACTTTCCACTAGATGTTGGAACATTGCTGCGGGGACTTGCTTCCATTCAGCCATTAGTGAGGTCGGCCACTGATGTTGGGCGATTAGGCCTGGCTCGCAGTCTGTGTTCCAATTCATCCCAAAGGTGTTCAATGGGGTTGAGGTCAGGGCTCTGTGCAGGCCAGTCAAGTTCTTCCACACCGATCTCGACAAACCATTTCTGTATGGACCTCGTTTTGTGCACGGGGGCATTGTCATGCTGAAACAGGAAAGGGCCTTCCCCAAACTGTTGCCACAAATTTGGAAGCACAGAATCGTCTAGAATGTAATTGTATGCTGTAGCATTAAGACTTCCCTTCACTTGAACTAAGGGGCCTAGCCCGAACCATGAACAACAGCCCCAGACCATTATTTCTCCTCCACCAAACTTTACAGTTGACACTATGCATTGGGGCAGGTAGCGTTCTCCTGGCATCTGCCAAACCCAGATTCGTCCGTCGGACTGCCAGATGATGAAGCGTGATTCGTCACTCCAGAGAATGCATTTCCACTGCTCCAGAGTCCAATGGCGGCGAGCTTTACACCACTACACCACTTGGCATTGCGCATGGGGATCTTAGGCTTGTGTGCGGCTACTTGGCCATGCAAACCCATTTCATGAATTGTGCTGACGTTGCTTCCAAAGGCAGTTTGGAACTCGGTAGTAAGTGTTGCAACTGAGGACAGACAAAGTTTACGCGCTACGCACTTAAGCACTCGGCGGTCATGTTCTGTGAGTTTGTGTGGCCTACCACTTCGCGGCTGAGCCGTTGTTGCTCCTAGACATTTCCACTTCACAATAACAGCACATACAGTTGACCGGGGCAGCTCTAGCAGGGCAGAAATTTGACGAACTGACTTGTTGGGAAGGTGGCATCCTATGACGGTGCAAAGTTGAAAGTCACTGAGCTCTTCAGTACGTGCCGTTAAATTGCCAATGTTTGTCTATGGAGATTGCATGGCGGTGTGCTCAATTTTATACACCTGTCGGCAACAGGTGGGGCTGAAATAGCTGAACCTACTAATTTGAAGTGGTGTCCACATACTTTTGGCCATGTAGTGTATATTAGTAGGCCATACTGTATGTAATGACCACTGCCCAAGTTGTAACTGCAGTGGGACTACTGAGACTTGCTTCACTCTGATTTAGGTACTATCATCACCCTAGGAAATGTGTCTATGGTCTAATTATTGACCCTCTTGGAGTTGTTTGTTTAGGATGTTGTATGGTTGTTGCATCTTTATCAGACTCATCATAAGGTTGTCATGGTGTGTGTGTCACCCTTTATTCTAGAAGCCATATGTCATGAGGTCAGTCTGACACATGACCCTCCTTCAATGGTCATGTGACAATGAGACGAGAACTTGGCTTCAGCACCGCACACACACACACTAACAATCTAGAGCCCTGATGAGATTTTTTATTTAACCAAAATTGGGGGGGACCCACAGCTGGGTTCTGATTTGCCTCTTTCAGTGTGAATAAGATGAGTGTTTGTTTAGGCCCTCTGTTGGTGAACTAGTAGGTTAACTCTGTGGCGTCAATACAGCCTCCTGGAGCTGGAACCAGGCATGGTTTGGGTCTGGTATGTTTTTCCACAGCAGAGCTGTAGTCCTAACAGGAGTAGCCATCAACTGGGTACCACAGTGGAAAACTGGTATAAGCAGCACATTCTGCAGAGCCATAGAATACCTGCAATCCATTAGTTGGCACTGGCAACATGATCACAGCCCATGACCAGGTGAAAAACAGTTCCCCCCCCCCTACCCTCCCAGGTTTTGTGGTGATGGGATACAGGTGGGAGGGGGTTCTTTTTAGCCCACAGTTGAGTGATTTACTAACACCCACCCACCCACCTACGTCCTGGGCTCAGATCACTGCCATTTAAAAAAAGAGGGGTGTGTCTCTCTCTTCTCTCTCTCTCATGGTGTACAGCTCTCCTCTGGTTCACACTGCTGACCCCAGGAGACTTGGGCTACTTGTGGATACACTTTGAGAGAGAGATAGGGAAGGAGGGACGGACGAGAGGGAGCGAGAGGGGGGTGAAACGGAGAGAGGTCAAATGAGGGAGGAGAGTAGTAAAAATAGTCTGAGCAGTTTTGAGGGCATAACCCAGCTGTAGACAGATAGGAGAGGAGGACTTCAGAGAAAGGGGTAAGACGATACGCTCTTCTCCCCCTGTGTTCTCCTCTCTCTCACACTCTCAGGACGCCATTGAGATGGGGAACCGTGCCTCTAGGATGAGCTCCCAGCAGGCTGAGGGTAACTCTGTGATGTGGTCTGGTTACACCGTCTCCTTTAATCCCACTCTCTCCACCCCCCTTTTGCTCCCCCATTCCCTCCCTCTCTTCGTGACTCATATCTCAAACTCTTATTTACTGGGACGGGACACTCCAAGAAAGTCCTGTTCCCTTTGCTTTCTCTTCTTGTGCATGTTCCCCCTCTCCCTCCCTCTCTGTGCTCGGTGTGGGTTTTGACTATATTTAGTCTGTGCTCTTCCTGGTCAACAATGCAGACTCTGTAATGGGAGTTAGACTGAAATGTGTGCTGAGAGAGCTACTCGCAGAGAGGCCACCTCCGTTCGTTTTTTTCTGTGAGCGAGGGAGAGAAGAGGGGGATGTGTGTAAGTGAGCTTGAGAGAGCGGGAGGAGACTGGTTGACACTGTAGCTGACGCCCTTGGAAGGCCAGGTCTGGAAAGACCAGACTAATGAACTAGGAAGGCCAGGTCTGGAAAGACCAGACTAATGAACTAGGAAGGCCAGGTCTGGAAAGACCAGGTAAGACTAATGAACTATGAAGGAGTCATGTATTTCTGAAGATGGAGTCTTTAAATTTGGGATCTCTGTGTGAATGTGGAAAAGACTGGAGTGGGCATGGTGATTGGTGATTAGGGTGGGGGAAGGATTGGTAGTGGGCAGGCAACTCAAGGAGGGAGTGCTGTCATGGTCCTATGGCCTACCGTAATTGCTTGTTGTCCAGGAACAACCCCTAGCCCATACTCCCTAGGCACATAACATATAGATGTGAAAGGATTGGATGGCTAAACATTGCCCTCTGATAGGCTTGGTAGCATTTCTGCTGTATTGCTTATGCCAATACATTACTCTCAAATCTACCCTAGATGCCTTCGGCCTAGGGTTTGACTGTAGGCTTAGGCCCTATGTCTGGAACACTAGAGGAGTGATCTGCGGTGAAAGCAGTCATTAAAGCACCATGTCATTATAACAGAGGAAACCATTAGGCCTGTTTCCTGAAGTAGCCTAGTCCGTTATCCTTTGTGTTCAGTCAGGATGAAGAATGGAGACATAAAAGTTGCTGTAGCTTTGTTTACTTGTAAGAAGCTCAAACTATTTGTTAGGAGTCGGTCGGTCTGTCTGTCTCTGTCAATACATTTACTGTAGAAAATGACCGAAATGGATTTTTGTTGTTGTTGCCAATACTGATTTTCTTAAGGTCAAGGAGGCTGGTGGCATATATTTTAGGCCTATATTCAATATCATAAAATGTGAAAATGTTGATGACACTTTTCCATAGACAGCCATGTATGCATTAATTTTTTTAATCAAACCATACATTTGACTTCGTTTTTACCCATCTAACTACATAACATAATGGTAATAATTTTATTGGCAAATCTCTTGATAAACTGGGTAACTGAATATGTCATAGGCCTACTCACGATACAGGTGAATGCATATTCAGTAGGAGTGTGTGCATGCGTTGAGTTATTGAGCTTGTTTTGGCTGATCAGTGGAGTCTATGGTGCTACAGATGACATTCTGTTTGTCTTCCATTTCGGACTTGCAGTGCCTTCAGAAAGTATTCATACCCCTTAACTTATTCCACATTTTGTTAAAGCCTGAATTCAATATTTATTTTTCTCACCCATCTACACCCAATGACCCATAATGACAAAGTGAAAACATGTTTTTAGAAATTTTGGCAAATTTATTGAACATGAAATACTGAAATATTTACATAAGTATTCACACCCCTGAGTCAATACTTTGTAGAAGCACCTTTGGCAGCGATTACAACTTTGAGTCTTTCTGGATAAGTCTGTAAGCGCTTTCCACATCTGGATTGTGCAACATTTGCCCATTCTTTTCAAAATTCTTCAAGCTCTGTCAAATTGGTTGTTGATCATTGCTAGACAACCATTTTCAGGTCTTGCCATAGATTTAAGTCGAAACTGTAACTCAGCCACTCGGGAACATTCACTTTCTTCTTGGTAAGCAACTCCAGTGTAGATTTGGCCTTGTGTTTTAGGTTATTGTCCTGCTGAAAGGTGAATTCATCTCCCAGTGTCAGGTGGAAAGCAGACTGAACAAGGTTTTCCTCTAGGATTTTGCCTGTGCTTAGCTCTATTCAATTGTTTTATCCCATGATTACAAGCATACCCATAACATGATGCAGCCATCACTATGCTTGAAAATATGGAGAGTGGTTCTCAGTAATGTGTTTTTATTGGATTTGCCCCAAACATAACACTTTGTATTCAGGATAAAAAGTTAATTGCTTTGCCAAATTTTTTGCAGTATTAACCTTGTTGCAAACAGCATGCATGTTTTGGAATATTTTTTATTATGTAGAGGCTTCCTTTTCACTCTGTCAATTAGGATAGTATTGTGGAGTAGCTACGATGTTGATCCATCCTCAGTTTTCTCCTATCAAAGCCAATTAACTCTTTAACTGTTTTAAAGTCACCATTGGCCTCATGGTGAAATCCCTGAGTGGATTCCATCCTCTCCGGCAACTGAGTTAGGAAGGACGCCTATATCTTTGTAGTGACTGGGTGTATTGATACACCATCCAGAGTGTAATTAATAACTTCACCATGCTGAAAGGGATGTTCAATGTATTCTTTTTTTTTTTTTTTTTTACCCATCTACCAATAAGGTGCCCTTCTTTGTAGTTGAATCTGTGTTTGAAATTCACTGCTCGACTGAGGGACCTTACATATAATTGTATGTGTGGGGTATGAGGTAGTCATTCAAAAATCATGTTAAACACTATTATTGCACACAGGAGTGAGTCCATGCAATTTATTATGTGACTTGTTAAGCAAATGTTTACTCCTGAACTTATTTAGGCTTGCCATAACAAAGGGGTTGAATACGTATTGTCTCATTTCAGCTTTTCATTTGTAATTAATTTGTAAAAATTTCAAAAAGCATCATTCCACTAACATGTGGTATTGTGTTTAGGCCAGTGTAAAACATATCTACGTTTAATCCATTTTAAATTGAGCCTGTACCACAACAAAATGTGGAAAAGTTAAGGGGTGTGAATACTTTCTGAAGGCCCTACTGATCAAGTCCGGGCTATGGCTGGGCCACTCAAGGACATTCACAGACTTGTCCCAAAGCCACTCCTGTGTTGTCTTGGCTGTGTGCTTAGGTTCCTTGTCCTGTTGGAAGGTGAACCTTAGCCCCCAGTCTGAGGTCCTGAGTGCTCTGGAGCAGGTTTCCTTCAAGGATCTCTCTGTACTTTGCTCCGTTCATCTTTGCCTCGATCCTGACTAGTCTTCCAGTCCCTGCCGCTGAAAAACATCCCCACAGCATGATGTTGCCACCACCATGCTTCATCGTAGGGATGGTGCCAGATTTCCTCCAGATGTGATGCTTGGCATTCAGGCCAAAGAGTTCAGTCTTGGTTTCATCAGACCAGAGAATATTTTTTCTCATGGTCTGAGAGTCTTTAGGTGCCTTTTGGCAAACTCCAAACGGGCTGTCATGTGCCTTTTACTGAGGAGTGGCTTCCGTCTGGCCACTCTACCATAAAGGCCTGATTGGTGGAGTGCTGCAGAGATGGTTGTCCTTCTGGAAGGTTCTCCCATCTCCACAGAGGAACTCTAGTGCTCTGTCAGATTCTTTTTTTTTTTTTACCCTTCCCCAGATTTGTGTCTCGGCACAATCCTGTCGGAGCTCTATGGACAATTCCTTCGACCTCATTGCTTGGTTTTTGCTCTGACATGCACTGTCAACTGTGGGACCTTTTATATAGACCGGTGTGTTCCTTTCCAAATCATGTCCAATCAATTGAATTTACGACAGGTGGACTGCAATCGAGTTGCACCTGAGCTCAATTTCAAGTCTAGCAAAGGGTCTGAATACTTAGATTGCTGATTTTATTTAATCCATTTTAGAATAAGGCTGTAACAAAATGTAGAAAAAGTCAAGGGGTCTGAATACTTTCCGAAGGCACTGTATTCAACGCAGTGTTTGGTTTTCGCCAGGCATAATGGGTTCCATGTCGTCCAAAAAGTTGACTCAAGTTTGCCAAAAAGCACCTGGATGATCATGAAGACTCTTGGAAGAATGTTCTATGAACAGATGATTCAAAAGTATAACTTTTTGGACAACATGGAACCCATTATGCCTCGCAAGAACCAAACACTGCGTTCCACAGTAAGAACCTCATACCAATGGTCAAGCGTGGAGGTAGTGTGAAGGTTTGGGGATGCTTTGCTGCTTCAGGACCTGGACGACTTTCCTTAATAGAAGGAACCATGAATTCTGCTCTGTGTCAGTATTCTACAGGACAATGTCAGGCCCTCCCTCTGTGAGCTGAAGCTGAAGCGCAGCTGGGTCATGCAGCAAGACAATGATCCAAAACAAACAATGAAGTCTACAGGAAAATGGCTAAAAAGCAACAAATTTGAAGTTTAGGAAAGGCCTAGTCAAACGCCAGACCTAATCCCAATTGAGATGTGGTGGCAGGATTTGAAACGAGCAGTTCGTGCTTGAAAAGCCGCAAATGTCGCTGAGTTAAAGCTGTTCTGCATGCAAGAGTAGGTCAAAATTCCTCCACAGCGATGTGAGAGACAAATAATCAACAACTACAGGAAGCATTTGGTTGCAGTCATTGCAGCTAAAGGTGGCACAACCAGTTATTGAGTGTAAGGGGGCAATTACGTTTTCACTCAGGTGCATTGGGTGTTGCATAACTTTGTTTATGAAATAAGTATAATTGTTGTTTTGTTCACTCAGGTTCCCTTGATCTAATATTATGTTTTGGTTAAAGATTTATTAACCTTCAGGATCATAAATATGCTAAAGTAGAGAAAATTAGAAAGGGGGCAAATACTTTTTCACTGCACTGTATGTGAAAATAGTGCTTTTCTATGTTTTGTAGTTAAAAAACATAAAGGAAAGTGTTTCCAATGCCTACTCACAATTGGTCAAAATCACACAAAGCACACCATGATTTAATTGGAAACACTTATCTTCCTGTCTTTTTTACTTCAAAACATAGAAAGGCACCATTTTCACATATGTTGATGTTGGGGTGGTGCTGGAGATGAATATGATGTTGAAAAATTGTGTAGTTTCCCTTTAATTTTGAAATTACTCAAACTATCTGCTGCAGCTGGTGAATTAGTACGGAGGATATTTTTAAGTGGTTCTCATAGTGGTTAGTACTGCACCTGTTCTCACAATACATATGTTTATGACACCAAACTTTGGCGTTTTGCTGGGGATTTCCACAAGTGTTGACATTCAGAACTACTTGCATGCTAATTTAAAGTTTGTTGGACGTCTCTCTCGGTCTTCTCCACAGCAGGGGCATACTACTCGGCCCAACAGCAGTACACGCCCTCAGTGCCGGCTGCTCCGGTCATCATGAACCCTCCCCCCCAGCAGCAGCAACCACCTCCACAGCAACAGATCCAGTCCAAAAGGGAGCGCAAACAGGTAAAGGTAAACTCATCACCCCACCTCTACTGTTATACACCACACACAGGTAAACTCATCACCCCACCTCTACTGTTATACACCACACACAGGTAAACTCATCACCCCACCTCTACTGTTATACACCACACACAGGTAAACTCATCACCCCACCTCTACTGTTATACACCACACACAGGTAAACTCATCACCCCACGTCTACTGTTATTACACCACACACAGGTAAACTCATCACCCCACCTCTACTGTTATACACCACACACAGGTAAACTCATCACCCCACCTCTACTGTTATACACCACACACAGGTAAACTTATCACCCCACCTCTACTGTTATACACCACACACAGGTAAACTCATCACCCCACCTCTACTGTTATACACCACACACAGGTAAACTCATCACCCCACCTCTACTGTTATACACCACACACAGGTAAACTCATCACCCCACCTCTAACTGTTATACCACCTCACACAGGTAAACTCATCACCCCACCTCTACTGCTATACACCACACACAGGGTAAACTCATCACCCCACCATCTACTGTATACACCCACACACAGGTAAACTCATCAACCCCACCTTACTGTTATATCCCCCAGTACCTCATCACCCACCCACTGGTTTACACCCACCCAGGTAACTCTCCCCCCTCTACTGTTATACACCACACACAGGTAAACTCCATCACCCCCACTCTACTGTTATACACCCACACACATGTAAACTACATCACCCCACCTCTACTTTGGATAACACCACACACATGGTTAAACTCATCACCCCACCTCTAGCGGTTATACACCACACAAAGGCAAACTCATCACCCCACCTCTACGGTTAGACACCACACACAGGTTAAACTCATTCACCCCCAACCTCTACTGTATACACCACACACAGGTAAACTCATCACCCCACCTCTACTGTTATACACTACACACAGGTAAACTCATCACCCCACCTCTACTGTTATACACCACACACAGGTAAACTCATCACCCCACCTCTACTGTTATACACCACACACAGGTAAACTCATCACCCCACCTCTACTGTTATACACCACACACAGGTAAACTCATCACCCCACCTCTACTGTTATACACCTCACACAGGTAAACTAATCACCCCACCTCTACTGTTATACACCACACACAGGTAAACTCATCACCCCACCTCTACTGTTATACACCACACACAGGTAAACTCATCACCCCACCTCTACTGTTATACACCACACACAGGTAAACTCATCATGCCACTCTGTCATTGCTTGTCCATATATGTATTTTTAAATTCCATTCCTTACTAGTTTTGTGTGTATTGGGTATATGTTGTGAAATTGTTCGATATTACTTGTTCGATATTACTGCACTGTCGGAGCTAGAAGCACAAGCATTTCGCTACACCTGCTATAACATCTGCTAAACACGTATGTGACAAATAAAATTTGATTTGATCACCCCACCTCTACATTAGTTTTTTACTGCTTTCATATTTTGTTGTGGTTTTATTGAACAGATAGGATAGTGGAGAAAAGACAGGAGAGCTGGGAGGAGCACAAGGTCAGTGAGTTGAATTGGAACACATGCCCACTCTGGTAGTCAGTGAGTTGGATTGGAACACATGCCCACTCTGGTAGTCAGTGAGTTGGATTGGAACACATGCCCACTCTGGTAGTCAGTGAGTTGGATTGGAACACATGCCCACTCTGGTAGTCAGTGATTTGGATTGGAACACATGCCCACTCTGGTAGTCAGTGAGTTGGATTGGAACACATGCCCACTCTGGTATGCCAGGGTCAGCGGCACTAACTGCTGGACCACAGGCCAGCCCATGTAAACACCTCTACTTAGGTAGACAATCAGGTATCCTCATCCCAGAATGGACAGGTCACAGAACTGGAAACGCCCACCAAGAGACATTAGGGGCCTGATGTTATACAGTCAATGTTCCCCCTCATGCAGAGCAGGGTTTGAATACTTCAGTGATTCTCATGTTTTAAAGGAAGAGAAGGACTGTGCTAATAAAGCGTGTGAATATTTTTAAAAAAACAAGTATAGTTTGTCAGTAAGGTGTGTCCAACACTGATGCCTTTCCCCCATCATCCACTGTGAAGGTGCACAGTGCGGTTTTGGTCTACAGCTACTGTGTCTTCCTGTTTGTCTGGCCGGCCTACACTCTGGTGGATGTCACATGACAGGTTGCCATGGTAATGAGAGGACTTGTGTGATAAACACTGTGCTGTGTGGTAGTGTTGTATTCTGTCTAGGGAGGATTCTAGATGGGTCTACTCCTTATGATTTACATTTGGTTCAGTCATTGATTTGAAATGGATAACTTTTGACCTGATGAACTGTAACACTAAACTGCTGTGTGACTGAAGCATGTTCTTTAAGGCTGTAGTACTAGTGTACCTCTCCTGGCTGCTGGTGGCCTCGGCTGGTCTGGATTCATCTGAAACCATAGTTACATATCACAATATTATTTTGGACGATATTATATCAATACTTTGACTCAAAGTATATTTGTATAACATATATATTTTCAAATTTCTTGCTAGGTAGCGTCAGCTAGCGCTAGTTGGCTGTACCTGCGCCAAAACTCCAGTATTTTTCATCTTATAGCTTGTCCTTAATCTTATATTTAAATAGTGAGCCAACATGTTTTCAGCACTTTTATTTCCATGACTGATCTAAACACATTTTCTCTCTCTGCAGCAGACATACACTGAGTGTACAAAACATTAGGAACACCTTCCTAATATTGCGTTGCACCCCCTTTTGCCCTCAGAACAGCCTCAATTTGTCGGCATAGACTACAAGGCATCGAAAGCATTCCACAGGGATGCTGGCAAATGTTGACTCCAATGCTTCCCACAGTTGTCAAGTTTGCTGCATGTCCTTTGGGTGGTGGACCATTCTTGATACACACAGGAAACTGTTGAGCGTAGGAAAAACCCAGCAGCTTTGCAGTTCTTGACACACTCAAACCGGTGCACTTGGCACCTACTACCATACCCCGTTCAAAGGCACTTAAATATTTTATCTGAATGGCACACATAAACAATCCATGTCTCAAGGCTTAAAAATCCTTCTTTAACCTGTCTCCTCCCCTTCATCTACATTTATTGAAGTGGATTTAACAGGTGACATCAATAAGGGATCATAGCTTTCACCTGGTTACTTTATCACTCTGTGTATATTGAGCAGTATATTTGAAACATCAAATCGCAATAAAATCACAATCGAATCGCAATACATATAGAATCGTGAGAATCTCAATATGTATCGTATCGGCACCTATGTATCATGATAATATTGTATCGTGAGGTCCCTGGCAATTCCCAGTCCTAATGTCTATGGTGGACTGGTCTGGTTTTTTAGCACTTCAATGGCAGACCGCTGATCAAGTTTTCCTCTTGTGCTCTACTGCGCTCTATGGTGGACTAAGCTGATTTGTTCCTGTGCTGAGCTGACTAAAGTGGACCTGGCTGATCTAGGTTAGACTGTGCTCTATGGTAGACTACTCTGATCTAGTCTGCAGTGCATCAGTGTGCTAGGCTTATCTAATTGAGTATCTGTGCTCTGTACGGTGGACTAGTCTGATCTAGTCTCCAGTGTATCTGTGCTCTGTATGGTACGGTGGGCCTGGCTGCTTTATCATTGGCTGTGGGAGCATGCAGCTGGCTGTCGTAGCTGGGGCGGACGTTGGCCAGCCAAGCGGCCCCGTCCGAAGCTGCACGCTGCTCAAGGTCCTTCAAGAGAGGCTCCCTCAGCTCCCAGTCCCACTAGGAGGATGGTAGACTGGGGGGGCAGGGGAGGAAGAGCTGCAGCAGGACACCCCACAGTGAGTCAGTCGTGCTTCAGCCAGTCTGAGCGTCACGATGTGTCTTTCTAGATGGTTTCAAAATGTCTGCCAGAAGAGTATGAAGTGTAAAGCTGTTTTTCAGCAGAGCTAAGCAGACTGTTTAGTAGTAACTGTCTTGTAACTGAGGTCATTTTCTATTTTTTTTCCCTTTTGTTACCCACTGCCTTTAAGCAGCGCTCTCTCCTCTCTCTCTCTGGGTAGAGGGGGGGGGGGTGGTGTGTGTTGAAGGACATGTCAGCGCATAGCTCCACGTGGCTGCCAGGCTCCTCCCCCTCTGAGCCAGAAGCGCAATGGCTGACCTATCTCCTCCCCTTCTCTCGCTCTCTCTCCGCTGCTGCTTCTGTGGCATACCCCTCTCCTTGTTTGCACTAGCTGGAGCTCATTTGATTAAGTTTTGAATCGTTTTCTTTCTCCTCTCCTTTTTTCTGGAATTCCTCCTCCCTCTTTCCCCCTCTCTTTGGCCCCCTTTGACTGTCTGTAGTTCGGTGCTCAGTGGGTGGGGCCGCTTGCATTCCAGTGCTGCTGCTCCACAAGGCCAGTCGCTCTGGCTTCGCTCTGGCTTCGCTCTCTCGCTCTCTTTTTGTCTTTTCTCTCTCCCTCTTTTTGTCTTTTCTCTCTCCCTCTGTACATGTGTGTGAGAGCTGGGAACGAGGCTCTGCCCTGCTGGCTCTGCTCTGCTCTGCTCAGTGAGTTGTTGAGGGAGTAGGCTACGTGTGTTTTCCCAACCACGGTTGCAAAAGCAGCCTGCTTGCTGGGAGAGGCCTGCTGGCCGACAACTCAACTCTGACCCCAGGATGAGAGAGGCCTGCTAGGGGCTCTGGAGCCTGTCCGTGTGTCAGGTAAACGACTCTACCAGCGGGGGAATGTGCTGGCTCACGCCTGTTGCTGACAACTCTTAGTGTGTGTGTGTACGTTTGTGACAGACAGAAAGAGAGCGGAGTTTGTGATAGAAAACATGTGGCTCTGTGTAAGGGCACGCCTTGTAAGATGTCTGGCTTGCACTGGAATTTGTTTGGCAACTTGGCTGAAGTTGAGTATTTCCGTAGTCATATTTTGTTGGGGAAGAATTTGTTAAAACAAGGCAGCAATCCGTGTAGAAATCTGTGTTTGTCAGACTGCATAGCTTTGTGGGGCTGGTGTTTCTTGTGTCAGTATGTGAGAAATGTAGCTCTGCTGATGAAGACGCTGCTAGGCCACAGCCCTACAGTACAACCCAGAAGACTTGGCACAGTTGGAAACAGGGCCTAGCATCATAGAAAGTAGTTAGTTGTGACAGCTCTTCTCTTTTCCAGCTTTCCCCACCCCCTAAACTCACCCTCCCTCTCTCCTTTACTCTCACTCTTTCTCTCTTTTTTGCTCTCCCTCTCCTCCTTTAGAAAGGGAATGAAGCAAGTAACACGTTTTTTATCGAAGGCTATACTGCATTCTCTCTATTTTTCTTCTTGTATCCCTCACTGTTGTCTTGTGTCCTCTCTATAGATCATAATACGAGACCCTAACCAGGGTGGTAAAGACATCACTGAGGAGATTATGTCAGGGGGCACCCGCAGTGGCACCACCCCCACACCCCCACAGGTGAGCGACGACTCTTCAGAGGTGAGCTACCATTACCCTCGTCACCAACCATCATCCCTTTACACACATTTAGCTACCATACCGTCCTGTTTTTGGATGTGCAGACATTTTGTTTTCATATTGGACATATTGTATCTAACCTGTCATATGGTTGTGTCCACTCCAGTTACCTAATGTCTCTGTGTTGTGTTCTGTCCCTTAGTCGTCTATATCTGGATCAGAGGGCCCAGCCGTTGCCCAGGCCAACGGTGAGAACGTGACACCTGTCGTGGTCAGACCAGGTGAGTTGGCCGAGGGGTCAGGTGATCTAGAGGGACGTAGCTGGCTGTCGCTCATTGGTTCACCTCCAGTACAAAGTCATTTTTCGTGAATTTGACTAACTCACATAGGCAAAATGCTCCTTTGCAAAGGTCCCGTGTATTTTTACAGTGTAATGACGAATTGATAATAAGTGGGTAATTATCAAAATATGATCAACAGACATGAGGGTAAATTTGAACATTAGTATGCTACTATGGCCACTTGAGTGGGTTCAATTCACCCTAGAAATGTAATGGTTGAGCAGGCTCTCCAGTAGGTTTTGCTCATGGCATCTCCTTTCCTCCTCAGATGACAGAGGGAAACCTGCAGCCACTCTCATCACTGGCCCCCCAGCCCAGTCTAAAACCCCTGAACTGGTCAAGACTGCCCCTACCCCTACAGAGGTCAAACCCCCAGACACGAACAGTAAATCTCCTTCCTTACCCCAGGACCTACCCACACCCCCACGGGCAACTACCACCCTCCAGAATACTGCCCCTACCACCCCCACACCCTCAACTAGTCCCATTGCAGACATGATGGACGCGCCAGCCCCGGCCGCTGCTCCAGCCCCATCTGCCCCTGAAGTGCCTGCTTACCCTGCGCCCCTGCCTGAACCCTGCCACACTTCTGCAGCCGAGGAGCATCCCTCAGCCGCCAAGGAGGAGCGGGAGGAGATTAAAGAGGAGGTGGCGGAGGCTAGGGAGGAGGTGACTACATCATCCAAACCTGAGCCTTCCCTTGCTCCAGTGACCACCCCTAGCAGCAGCACTAACGGTATGTCTGCAGCACAGCCCCCCCCAGCCGAGGAGGAGGAGCCATCAGCCCTGTCCATCACCATGCCCTCCCCCCAGGCAGCAGAACCCCCCCTGGAGTCTCCCATTGCCCAGCCAGAGGAGCTCAGGCTGCCCAATGGCCTGCCGCTCCCCAGCCCCCAGGACCCTGAGAAGGTGTCTGCGGAGTCGTCGGAGTGTGACGTCAGCCCCATCGCTGAGCCTGAGGCGGCCCAGTTACAGAGGGAGGCACCTATGCCTAAACCCACGCCTGTTGCCGTCACAGCAACGCCCGCCACCGTTGTCAAGGGGACGCCCGCCGCCCCCGTTGTCAAGGGTACGCCCGCCGCCCCCGTTGTCAAGGGTACGCCCGCCGCCCCCGTTGCCAAGGGTACGCCCGCCGCCCCCGTTGCCAAGGGTACGCCCGCCGCCCCCGTTGCCAAGGGGACGCCCGCCGCCCCCGTTGCCAAGGGGACGCCCGCCGCCCCCCTTGCCCAGGCGACGCCCGCCCCCCTTGCCCAGGCGACGCCCGCCCCCCTTGCCCAGGCGACTCCCGCCCCCCTTGCCCAGGCGACGCCCGCCCCCCTTGCCCAGGCGACTCCCGCCCCCCTTGCCCAGGCGACGCCCGCCCCCTTTGCCCAGGCGACCCATGTCCTAGCTGAGACTGCTACTACTACAGAGGTAACTGCGCTCCGCGTGGAAGACGAGATGGACTCTCCACCACCACAGAGCAACACCCCAGCCGGGGAGAGTTCTATGCAAGGTCAGTATCAGTCTGACTGACTGACTCTCGCTTTTTTTTTTTTTTTTCTTTGAAACAGTCTCCCTCTGTCTGTCTTTTTCCTCTGTCTGGAGCCATCTGTCTGTCTGTCTTTTTCCTCTGTCTGGAGCCATCTGTCTGTCTGTCTTTTTCCTCTGTCTGGAGCCATCTGTCTGTCTGTCTTTTTCCTCTGTCTGGAGCCATCTGTCTGTCTGTCTCATTCAACCACATTGTCTTTCTCAATTTCAATTCCTAACCCTACCCGTTGGCACTTCGTGAAGATGAAACATTGTCTAGGAGGATCTACGTTGCAGTCCGACTGTGTGTCGAGCCTGTGTCATGAGGGGCAGAGAGTGACAGGGTTATGTCTACGCCGAGGACCCGGAACAGTGGGTACTTGGAGTGATCATAGCTCCAACAGAAAGCCATAAAAATAAAACGTTGGAAGAGATATTGGCAATGTGGTAACCGCTCCACCTTGATTTCTGATAGGCTAGGTGGAGTTTGGGTGCTAGGGTTGGATTGGGGATTGAGTGTCAATCCATGGTGGTTTAGTCTGACTCTGTTGGTGGTGTTCTGCTTGTAGCTGCTGTTTCTGTGCCGAAGAAAAAGAGGAAGATGAAGGATCTGAACAAGAAGGAGGCTGTTGGAGACCTCCTGGATGCCTTTAAGGAGGTCCGTTCACACAAACTACCCACGCCATCCATATCAAACACACCACCCACGCTATCTCATATCAAATACACTACCCACGCCATCATATCAAAGCTTTAAGAATGCCTGTTTACAGCTGGCCCATAAAAACCCCAGAAGAAGAAGAAGAAGAAAAAATGTTTACAGTGACTAATACGTCCCCCCCCCCCCCTTCTCGCTCTCCTCTCCTCTCCACCCTCTCTCTCTCTTCTCTCTCTCTCTCTTCCATCTCTTCTCTTTCTCTCTTCCATCTCTTCTCTCTCTCTCTCTTCCATCTCTTCTCTCTCTCTCCAGGAGCAGGTAGTGGAGAGCCCTCCTGAGCCAGAGCAGGCCACACCCACTTCTGCCTCTGACGCCGAGGAGCCCCGCCCAGCCGCCACCCCTGCAGTCGAAGAGGTGGATGAGACGTGGGAGGAGAAGGAGGACAAACTAGATGCAGAGAATATCGAACCCAAGCCCGGGGATCTGAAGTACCAGTACAAAGAGGGTGGGTTCTGAACCTTGGCCCTAAGATGCCCTGTAACATTTCTATACTTACTTAGAATATTATCCTCTTAACGTTATCCTCTACACCTTATCTCACAAGGTCTGCCTCTGTCAGTCAAGAGAGGATGCAAAGTTTCACTTTATTGGAAATGCTTTGTCAGAGCACGAGTCCTAAAGTCCCATTTGACATCAATGTATGTTTTAAAAAAAAAAGTGAAACGGAGTGATACTCAGTTCGGATGCCAGACTATATACCCCAACTCTACCAACCTGAACGCTATACTGATGAAAACTCACATATGTGATTCCTCTATAATTCCTTGTTCCTCTCCTCCAGAACTATGTAGGCCTATAGACCCAGAGGAGAAGAAGAGGTATGACAGGGACTTCCTGCTGGGCTTCCAGTTCATCAGTGTCGCCATGTCCAAGCCTGAGGGCCTGCCTCAGATCAGTGATGTTGTGCTGGACAAGGTACCGTACAACACTGTCCCCTGCTGGACTGGAGGAATCACTGCACGGTCCATTGGAGATTATTTTCATGCATTTATTTTTATGGACCACTTTCATCACCAGTTATTTATTTTGTCTTTCTTTGTGTCCGTCATTATTTATCTTCTGTCCTCTGGTTCCGTCATTGTTTCTCTCTATTCCTGGTACTACTTCTCTCTCTCTCCAGGCGAATAAGGCCCCTCTCCGCCAGTTGGACCCCAGCCGTTTGCCAGGGATGAACATGGGCACCGACTTCACACCCTCGTTTGCCAACCTGGGCAGGCCTGGAATGGGAGGAGGTGGAGGAGGTGGAGGTGGGTGGTGGTGGTGGTGGAGGGGGTGGCCACAGAGGAGGACCAGTGAGTTACCATGGAAAACTATCTGTCAATCTTCTCAAATACTACACTCTGATTATATTAAAACTTTCATTTTCCCCTCCCTCCTCTCCTCCAGCCCTCTGGTATGGGTGGTGGAGGACCGCGTCGCTCCCAGCAGGGCCAGCGTAAGGAGCCCAGGAGGATCATCAACATCTCTTCCTCTCTGACGGACGACGTGAAGCTCAACAAGGCTGAGAAGGCCTGGAAGCCCGCTGTCAAGAAGGCTGCCAGTGGGCGAGCTGCTCCTGAGGAGGAGCTCGACGACCCAGAAGAGGCCAAGACCAAGGAGCTGTTCAAGAGGGTCCGTAGTATCCTGAACAAGCTGACCCCTCAGATGTTCCAACAGCTGATGAAGCAGGTCACAGAGTTGACCATCGATACGGAGGAGAGGCTGAAGGGAGTGATAGATCTGATCTTTGAGAAGGCCATCTCTGAACCCAACTTCTCTGTGGCCTACGCCAACATGTGCCGCTGCCTTATTGGGGTGAGTGACTCTGAAGGGTGTGTGTGTGTACACCTAGTGTGCTGGTCTTGGTCTGGTGATGACCTCCGTTCTGTGCCACGTGTCTGGACCACTGACTTTATATGACGTCTGCAAAACTCTCCAACCGTGGCCTAAATTGTTTCTTTGTCTTTTCATCTTGTCAGCTCAAAGTCCCCACTACAGACAAGCCAGGAGTCACTGTGAATTTTCGCAAGCTGCTTCTGAACCGCTGTCAGAAGGAGTTTGAGAAGGACAAGGACGATGATGTCATCTTTGAGGAGAAGCAGAAAGAGCTGGATGCTGCAGCCACGGTACGAGCTGGGCTCTGTGACCAATTAAAATGTCTCTCTCACACAGACACACTTGGTTTTGATTTCTGTAGGAGTTAGCTGACCATCTGTCTGGTATGCCTCCCTCTCCTCCCTCCCCCTACTTCCTGCTTCCTCTCCCTCTGTTACATCACTTCCTGTCTGAAGGAGGAGAAGGATCGCCTGAAGGCGGAGCTGGAGGAGGCCAAAGACAAGGCGCGGCGGCGGTCGCTAGGCAACATCAAGTTCATTGGTGAGCTGTTCAAGCTGAAGATGCTGACTGAGGCCATCATGCACGACTGCATCGTCAAGCTGCTGAAGAACCACGATGAGGAGTCGCTAGAGTGCCTCTGTAGACTCTTGTCCACTATAGGGAAGGACCTGGACTTTGAGAAGGCAAAGGTAATGCTGAACCAGTGTCACTGACACACACAGACACGCATCCTTTACAACACTTAGACCAAATTATTTCTAAGAAACATAGATTTACACACCAACACATACACACTAACCTGCCTGTCTCTCTTTCTGTAGCCTCGTATGGACCAGTACTTTACCCAGATGGACAAGATCATCAAGGAGAAGAAGACATCGTCCAGAATCCGCTTCATGCTGCAGGACGTACTGGACCTCAGGAGGGTAATACCTCCTCACACACACACACACACACACACACACCAGTGTCTGGGTAATGCTTCAGCCCTCTCACCTAAACCTTTTGGTCATCTCTATCTAATCTGACTGACCCTTGTCCTCTGGTTGGTATGTATCCAAGCATATCAGTAAACACTTGGTCAAACTACCATAGACAGAATAGTCTCCCCTAAACCCTGATTTTATCCATGACCCCAAATCACCTCTGACCTCTGAATGTATCCCTGATCCCAAATCACCTCTGAACTCTAGTCTCACTTCCTTTACAAGCCCTCTCTATGCATGCATGTGTAGTGTATCATAGTGGGTTGTGTTGTTTTACAGCCCCGTAGACGCCCACACTAGTCTGTAGTCCTGGCCCGTGTGGGTTCTGAAGTGGGATAATAGAGAGACAAACTCAGCTCTTTAATACAGGGAGGATCCCCAGCTTTGCCCCTCTGTACCATAGGCTGAGACAGGAGTCAGTCTGCACCCCGCAGCCAATCCCATCTCTCCAAGCTACTGTAACCGACTCCCTCCTCTCAAAGTCATTCACCGTCTAGATGTCTACCACCCTTCTAAACGGATGTGTCCCTTGATGTTCACACAAACTAGTTATCCATGCCTATTAGGCTTGGGCAGTATCCAGATTGTCCTACCTTCATACCGATCTTGTGCCATACCAGGATATTCGGTAATACCTGCACTGACCACAGTGCAATGCTAACAAGTACATGTCAAATCTAACGAACGCATGCAAACATTTTATACAGTCTCTTGACAAACTTTGCAGGACAGACATCCCACTCATTAAGTTATACAAGTAACTCAAAAATGCCACACAGTTTGGTGCACGCACAAAACTAATATTAGACGGAAGGTATTCTCTTCTGTTACCAAGAGGAGCTTGATTGCAAGAAGCTAACCACTTAGCTAGATAACTTGGTACTAAGTTAGCAAACCAAATACACAACTGCAGATCATTTAGCACATTTTAGACAGTTAACTTAGTTATAAGATATCTAGTTGTGAATTCCATACTGTAACTAGATCACCTGGCGCGGGCTGCAGTTACTCCCAAGACAACCGATAAGCTTCATAACGCAGATCTTGATATTTCATTATCTCCTAAATTGTACAAGTTGACTGCAGGTATTTATTTAAAAACTAGCTACAAATATTCAAATTAATTAAGCTTCAAATAAATACTTTCAGTGGTATTGACAGTATTGAAAAACCATCCCGTGGGTATTTCCAAATAACCCGAAATATACGGTATACAGCCCAAGCCTAATGCCTATGACCCATTCGCTAAGCTTTCAGTGATTCACAAACTCACATTTCTTACTTTGTTTGAAAACTACTAGTTACTAAGGACATACAGGTATGTTAACTAAGGATCTGTAGCCTAGGCCTCTATCTAAGGTCTAGATGTGCATGTATTTGTACAGTACTGTTAGCTGTGTGTGTCTGAGGTTTTCCTGTAATGCAGTTTACCAGAAAACAACATAAATGCTGGACTGTTCCACTTTAACTAGTTTAGTCTCCGGTGACTTTTCTGGGAAAATGTCTGCAGAGCCTCAATGTGTTTGTGTGTCTGTTCGACAGTGACTCGCAGTATGGTTAGAGCAGTGATGTGGTGTTGCACCGGATCCATAATTACAGTTATAGGATTGCTATGGTTCCACCCCCAGTAAGTGTCTTACCAAAGCTGTTACCAAAGCAGCAGTCGGGATGTTTCATAAGAGCTGATCAGCTGCACTCAGTCAGCACACTGGCCCCTGCCATTTACTGGGAAAACGCTATAGTTTCAGTTTCCATTGTCTGGAAAAGCTGACAGCGGGGTTAAGGCAAGGCATCTCTCTCGCTCTCGCGCTCTTTCTATAGCCCTGTTGTCAAGTCACCCATTTGTCTTAATTTATTGACTAAGTGACCTTTGACTCGAAGAGATATGGAGTGTTAAGGGTATGCCACACTTTTCCATTTAATTCCAATCCTCAGTTAAAGTATATTACTGTACTCACTGTAGTGCTGACCCCATTTAGTCGACTGGTCGATAGGCTGTTGGTCGACCGAGATTTCTTTAGTCGTGCAGTCGTAACACATCCTTTTTTCAGGGTGCACAAGACACCTGTCTGATTCGTGTCGGTCTCAGTGGACTAATCCATTGCGGAGGCCACGGTATGGCACAGTCCATCACTCTAAGACCTTTTCCTTAATCTCCTTCTTATTGTTATTATTATTATGATCATCATTATAATAAGTAATGTCGTTATCATTAGTAGGCTTTGTATAGTAGCCTTGTATAACCACCATCGAGCTGTAGGCCTAAGAGACCTTCCTGTTTAGTCTTAATACCGTAACTTACTTAGGCCTATATTTCAATATATAGGCTACTGTATCAATCAATCAATCAATCATTCATTCAATGATTCATTCGTTCATGTCATCACACAGCATGCGAGACATTCATGCTTTAAAATGCAATCAAGCATTTTAGTTTTAAAATTAAATAATAAAGGGAGCTTTGAATAATTAGCCTAAACAATAAATAAACCACAATTCACGAATGCATGCAACTGTTTTTAGTCTGCTATAATAAAGGCTTTATATTTTTAATTTCTCATTAGAACAGACTCTCTGGTACACTTATTTATTTAGTGTTTACACTTCCAAATGGTTTTTATTTATTATTGTAATCTGACAGCAACTGTTTGGCACACATAATACTCATGCAACGCTTGCTCCTATACCCTCCTTTTTCTTGATCTCCAGTAGTTTCCACAACTAAGTCAAATGTCTTCCACAGATCTGACTTCCCCTTCCCCTCCGGAGCAACCAGTAAACATTTGCGCATTTATTTTTCACGTCCTCCGCATCCATTTTGCTGTCACGTGTTACTGTGTTTGGAGTTTGTTATAACCAATTAATTGATGTGTTTATGATAGGCTATAGGTCAGGCCCTATTGGTCACATGCATGCTATGTTTACATGTTTTACGTAAAGAGAGCAAGGGTTGAGGGAATAGGGAGTGTTTGTCCTAAACAAATTATGGATTTCGGTAACAGAACTTTTCAATCTGCAACAAGTAAGAAACTAAATGGCTGAAATGATGTTGCAGCTTCAGCACGGACAGCACAATAAACACTTGCTGTGCCGTGGTGCCTTTTGGCTGCAGTAGGGAGGAGAGAGAGACAACTTGCGCCAGTCACACAGGCACTCGCTGTCATTTTGTTTTAACACAGTGGGACCATCAGGCTCTTTCTGGAGTCATTTGTGTGTCATCATTATTTAATCAAACCGTGTTCTTAAAGCATCAGACAAGCTCAGTGCATATGTAGTTGATTTTTATTCAAACACATAGGGTGTGTCTGTCTATATATGGAAATATCGATTGGTCGAAAGAAAAGGACGACTGTTGAGCCAATATTTTTTTTAGTCTGGGACAGCCCTAACTCACTCCCACTCCCCCCTCCCAGAACACATGGGTCCCCAGGAGAGGAGAGCAGGGCCCCAAGACCATAGACCAGATCCACAAGGAGGCTGAGCTGGAGGAGCACAGGGAGGTTCTCAAGGTGCAGCAGCAACTCCTCAACCAGAACACCCGAGGAGGAGGTGGAGGACGTGGTGGTGGTGGAGGAGGAGGAGGAGGAGGAGGAAGAGATCAGGGGAGCCGTGGGGGCCAACACCCCCAGGCGGGCCAAAGGAGTCAGCCCCAGGACGAAGGCTGGAACACAGTTCCCATTTCCACCAAAAGCAGACCCATCGACACCAGCCGACTCAGCAAGATCACTAAGGTCAGTGATACATCATACTGTGGATTCTCAGCCATGTATCGTGGACCCATACTCTGTTTGGACTGAAACACTCCAACCCCCTCCACTTGTAGTCTAGCACCCACCTCCTTAACCTTCAACCCCATTGTAAAGTTCTATCAGCCCTACCATTCCCAACTCTTCTAATCTAATCTGTTGGACTGAAACCCCAAACCCACTCACTCTGTAGTCTGGTACTCACCACTTAACCTTTAACCTCCATTTAGAGTTATGACCATACCATTTCTGACTCCTCCAAACTTCTCACTTATGTAACTTGAAACTTCAGACCTTTTTCAGATCTCAAGATGTTTTGCCCCCAACAATACTGCTAGTCTTCTTTCCTCAAAAGTAATGTTTCTAACCTCTCCTTCTCTCTGCAGCCCGGGGCTTTGGACTTTAACAACCAGCTGCTGGCGCCCCAGCTTGGGGGTAAGGGCATGTGGGGCAGCTGGGGCAAGGGCAGCAGTGGAGGCACCACCGGAGCCAAACCCACTGGGGAAGTCAGTAAGTCCTCTTACCAGTACACCCACCACTGTGAAATATCTACTCTTAGGCTCTTTAAAAATTAACTGTGTGTGTGTAGCCCCAGAGTCAGGAGGCCGCCCAGCCACCAGCACCCTCAACAGGTTCTCAGCCCTGCAGCCACAGCAGCCCTCCTCCTCAGGGCCCTCACATGACTCGGACAGAAGAGTTCCTCATAGGTCAGCAGCACTGGGACGTTACAACATACTACATCTGTCCTTTACATATCTCTTTCTATCTGGGAGGTTTTCTCTTTGTGTCTGATAGTCACTGATTTGAATATGGAACATCACTGCTACCACAGGGCAGAATGTTTGATTGGTTCAGATGAATTAAGGTCTTCTTGTGACTCTTTGCATCTACCCCCACCCTACCACCCTCCCCCTATACACAAACAGGAACAGCTCTAGCCGGGACCGTGGCAGCGACAGATTCGAGCGTCATGACCGTGGCAGCAACGACCGCTTTGACCGGAGGGACGACCGGGACAGGAACCGGCCCCCGGTCACCAAGCGGAGCTTTAGCAGGGAGTCGGAGGAGCACGGCAGAGAGAGGGAGCACAGCGGCCCTGCTGATCCTGTACGCCGCGTTGCCAGCATGACCGACGACCGGGGCAGCAGAGACCGAGCCAGGAGCAAAGAGAATGGTATGAAACAAAGAATACACACAGCATACTTTGTGTCAGGCTTACAGTACTGCTGGCAGGAGTGACCAGGGGTTTAAAGGGATGGGGAAAGGCAGAGAGTTGGTACTATGTTAACCAATTCAGGAACCCTTTATGGGGAATTTGTAATGTTTTAAAAGGCAAGGATTTCTCAGGCAGACATTTTCAGAGTAACTTCTGTATGTGACATTCTCTCTCTGTTTGGGCCACAGTGAAGAGGGAAGCTGCTCCAACCCCCCCTCCTCCCCAGACCAAACCTGCCTTGAGTGAAGAAGAGCTGGAAAAGAAGTCCACAGCTATCATAGAGGAGTACCTACACATCAACGACATGAAGGTACATTACATTTATACCCATGCAGATCATTGGAGAGACTTGCCTACATATCAACCACACACAGATATGCAACAGTTGAATAATACATACTCTAGCTAGTTGGCCACATGGTGGCAATTGAAAATGGCTTTCCATGTAAATGATATACATTTTTACATTTTAGTCATTTAGCAGACGCTCTTATCCAGAGCGACTTAGTTTTTTAGTGAGTGCATACATTTTCATACTGGCCCCCCGTGGGAATCGAACCCACAACCCTTGCGTTGCAAACGCCATGCTCTACCAACTGAGCTACAACAAAACATTTTTTTGAAACATGTTTTTATTACTGAAACACTGCCCTACTTTAGAGGAGTAAAACTAAACTTTTAATCCTGTTTCCCCTCCGGCGCTGTAGGAGGCGCTGCAGTGTGTAGTGGAGATGAACAGCACCCCGCTGCTCTTTGTGTTTGTACGAAGCGGTCTGGAGTCCACTCTGGAGCGCAGCCCCATCGCCAGAGAACGCATGGGCCTGCTGCTGCACCAGCTGTACAAGGCAGGCACCCTCCCCAAAGAGCAGTACTACAGAGGGTCAGTCACCTCAGAGAGAGTCTGTGTTTTCTGCCCTTGGAACAGCACTACACACAAATGAGCCACTAGTATATTGACCTTTTTTATTTTCTAGATAAAGTCTATCTGATGAATCTGAGTGATTGATTTGGTGTGTGTTATGTTTGTGTGTGTGTTGTGTTATAATGTGTGTGTGTTATAATGTTTGTGTGTGTGTGTCTCAACAGGCTTCAGGAGATACTGGAGGTGGCGGAGGACATGGTCATAGACATCCCCCACATCTGGCTCTACCTGGCTGAGCTCATCACCCCTATGCTCCACGAAGGAGGCATCCCCATGGGACAGCTCTTCAAGTCAGTCCCAGGCTTCATTCTAGGCCTCTACTAATAATAACTCTATTCAATCAGTCAGTATCCTCTATATTAAGATGTGACCTACTGACCTTGTTTTGACCTATGACCCTGTAGGGAGATATCCAAGCCCCTGGTTCCTCAGGGGACGGCTGGAGTTCTACTTGTCCAGATCCTCACCCTACTCTGCAAAGGAATGGTACGTTCTCTCACTACCCAACCTATAAAGGAGATGGTGCTTTATGTTTTCATATCTGTCCAGGCATCTAGATTACCTTTTGATGTTTGAATCCTATGCAAATGTCATGTTTGTGGATCCAAAGTGTTTTAAATGGAACCTACTGTATCCGTCTACCTCAGAGCCATAAAAAGGCAGGCACCATGTGGAGGGAGGCGGGGCTTAGCTGGAAAGACTTTCTGCCTGAGGACGAGGACGCCAACAAGTTTGTGACAGAAGAGGTCAGAGGTCATGACCCTGTAGGGATTGAAAGCAGATTCACCATATAGGATTGACCCTTTTTGAACTGATAGACAAATATGAAATAATAGTCCATTATTAATGGTAGACTCAGTGAAATGACTTTGCCACGAGCAGCACCACAGATATTGAGATGAGCGGGATGCAAGACTTCGCTCTCACACGGTCACAGGATCTGTGCATGTGCACGGATTCGCTTCACACACTTACAGCCAGGGGACCAAAACAGCTGAGGTTGAGCCTCAAGCTTTAACACTCTCACTGCTGTTTACTTTGTGCATCTACGTCATACAGCTGAGTCTACCTTTAGATAAATCGATCAAATGTCAATCAAATGTGTTTATATAGTCTTACTTGCATCAACAGTTGTCCCAAAGTGCTTTAAGGGCTTTCCAGACAGGAAGCGGCAGCAGAGTTGCCCATTCATTTTCAATGGCGCTAGGCAGGAGACGTTATTCTAGGCGTAGCGATCTGCGGTGCTCGTGCATGTGAAAGCCGCTCAGCCGAAGCAGAGAAAATAGGAATCTGCTCTATTTTGGCAAACCTTGCTCCGCCCCATCGCTTCCTGTCTGGATAGCCCATAACATTAATTATGGGAAGTTTCACTCTCTTGTTGTGTGTGTTCCCTCTGAATGCAGAATGTGGAGTTCACCCTGGGAGGAGGACGAGGAGATGATGATGACGATGATGATGAGACAGAGAAGAGCAGTAAGAAGGAGCTGAGCTCAGAGGAGCTGACCAAACAGCTGGACAGACTCATACAGGACAAGGCTGAAAACCAGAGGATCTACGATTGGGTCGAGGTATGACGTGTGAGAGGGAGAGTGTCCACTCACCCAATGAATATTTTGGTTTGCTTTTGGTTCCTTGTGCAGTACTACCAATAGACTCAGTTACAGTGCATTTGGAAAGTATTCAGACCCCTTTACTTTTTCTGCATTTTGTTATATTACAGCCTTATTCTAAAATGGATGAAATTGTTTTTTCCCCTCATCAATCTCTACACAATACCCCATAATTATTTTGCACATTTATAAAAAATAAAAAACTGATATCACATTTACGTAAGTATTCAGACCCTTTACTCAGTAATTTGTTGAAGCACCTTTGGCAGCAAATACAGCCTCGAGTCTTCTTGGGTATTACGCTACAAGCTTAGCACACCTGTATTTGGGGAGTTTCTCCCATTCTTCTCTGCAGATCCTCTCAAGCTCTGTCAGGTTGGATGGGGAGTGTCGCTGCACAGCTATTTTCAGGACTCTCCAGAGATGTTAGATCGGTTTCAAGTCCGGGGTCTGACTGGGCCACTCAAGCACATTCAGAGACTTGTCCCGAAGCCACTCCTGCATTGTCTTGGCTGTGTGCTTTGGTTCGTTGTCCTGTTGGAAGGTGAACCTTCGCCCCAGTCTGAGGTCCTGAGCGCTCTGGAGCAGGTTTTCATCATCTCTCTGTACTTTGCTCCATTCATCTTTCCCTCGATCCTAACTAGTCTCCCAGTCCCTGCCACTGAAAAACATCCCCACAGCATGATGGCCACTCTACCATAAAGGCCTGATTGGTGGAGTGCTGCAGAGATGGTTGTGTGTCAGAGTGACCAATGCCCTTCTCCCCCGATTGCTCAGTTTGGTCGGGCGGCCAGCTCTAGGAAGAGTCTTGGTGGTTCCAAACTTCTTCCATTTAAGAATGATGGAGGCCACAGTGTTCTTGGACATTCAATGCTGCCGAAATGTTTTGGTACCCTTCTTCGTCAGATCTGTGCCTCGACACAATCCTGTCTCAGAGCTCTACGGACAATTCCTTCGACCTCATGGCTTGGTTTTTGCTCTGACATGCACTGTCAACTGTGGGACCTTATATAGACAGGTGTGTGCCTTTTCCAAATCATGTCCAATCAATTGAATTTACCACAGGTGGACTCCAATCAAGTTGTAGAAACATCTCAAGGATGATCAATGGAAACAGGATGCACCTGAGCTGGTCTGAATACTTTCCAAATGCACTGTATATATTGTCCCCATTGGTCCTTGTTGTATATCCCACTGATATGTGTTGATGTGACTGTGCCCTCCCTCTTTAGGCTAACCTGGACAAGACGCAGATGTCCTCCAACGTGTTTGTCAGAGCAGTCATGACAGCCATCTGCCAGTCGGCCATCATCTGTGAGTTACCCTACCTTTATTGCTACCACCTCTCAATCCAACAATGTTTCAGGAAAACCCTCCACTCTAATACTCTTTTCACACTACTTAGCAGCTCTGTACCGATGCATAGTTGCTGGAACCGTGCTGGAAAGGACAATGTGGAAATAATATATCCGAGCCAACACATTATGGCTCAGATCACTCCAAACGCATCATCATGATGATGTGGCCGGTGACACTTTGCTTCTTGAAAGTACAATATCTTGAAAACATGACTGTTGACATGCAAAACATTTTGGGACTGTATCAATAGTGGACTAATGTAAGAAACAAATACCAAAATATAGTTTTTGACCTCTCCCTCTCTGCCCGCAGGTGAGAACCCTTACAAGTTGGATGCGAGGGTGATCACCCGGAGGGCCAAGCTGCTCCACAAGTACCTGAAGGATGAGCAGAAGGAGCTGCAGGCTCTCTACGCTCTGCAGGCCCTCATGGTGGAGATGGAGCAACCTGCCAGTGAGTGAGATGCACAATGACTTCAGTCACTCTCCTCTCTGTTTCCCTATGTGTCAAGTCTCTTTAGCAGTTTTTTACATGCTGAAGACTCTGATTTTGTCCTGTGTTTGTCTCCCAATTTTAGCCTTTTTTTTCCCATAGGGGTTATTTGACCGAGGGGTGTGGTTGACCAATTTGTCTCCTAGATTAGTTATTTTTGTGTACATTGTGTATTGAAATACTGTCTCCCTCCCCTTCCATTGTGTTGACATCCTGTCTCCCTCCCCTTCCATTGTGTTGACATCCTGTCTTCCTCCCCTTCCGTTGTGTTGACATCCTCTCCCTTCCCTTACATTGTGTTGACATCCTCTCTCCCTCCCCTTACATTGTGTTGACATCCTGTCTTCCTCCCCTTCCGTTGTGTTGACATCCTCTCTCCCTTCCGTTGTGTTGACATCCTCTCTCCCTCCCCTTCCGTTGTGTTGACATCCTCTCTCCCTCCCCTTCCATTGTGTTGACATCCTGTCTTCCTCCCCTTCCGTTGTGTTGACATCCTCTCTCCCTCCCCTTACATTGTGTTGACATCCTCTCTCCCTTCCGTTGTTGACATCCTCTCTCCCTCCCCTTCCGTTGTGTTGACATCCTCTCTCCCTTCCGTTGTGTTGACATCCTCTCTCCCTTCCGTTGTGTTGACATCCTCTCTCCCTCCCCTTACATTGTGTTGACATCCTGTCTCCCTCCCCTTACATTGTGTTGACATCCTCTCTCCCTCCCCTTACATTGTGTTGACATCCTGTCTTCCTCCTTTCTTGTAGACCTGCTGCGGATGTTCTTTGACACGCTGTACGACGAGGACGTGATCAAAGAGGAGGCCTTCTACAAGTGGGAGTCCAGCAAGGACCCCACTGAGATGCAGGGCAAGGGTGTGGCCCTGAAGTCCGTCACCGCCTTCTTCACCTGGCTCCGTGAGGCAGAGGACGAGGAGTCTGACAACAGCTAGGACCTGCTCACCAGCGCCCCCTGGACACTGGGAGAACCTGGAGGAGAAACGAGAACATGCTGTCTGATGATTCAGGAACATGGGGCTGTTAGAATCAACAAAATCCTTCTGCATAAAAAGGAAAAAAATCAGCTAGGAGATTCTACTACGGATTGAAAATGCAATCATTTTTTGTTTTATTTTCATTTTTGTTTATTTTGCGCTGCTGAATGTCTTTGAACTAAATTGAGAAACTAATTGCGAGAGAATGATAAGCGTAACAACAAGCTGTAGGGGTGGCTGTTTACTTCAGTGTTTTGAGGTTTTATTCCTTGTTTTAAAGGCGTCACGTTGCCGTAGCAACACTATTCATGATGTTTAGCAAAACAACAAAGAAAGTCCACAACAGACAGCGAACTAATAAAGGCTGCTCATATATATATTTTTGATTACATCATATATCCTGTTGAATGAGACATGATGGCCATCATGTCGTATGTACGATTCTACATGACTCTGTCAGTGATTTAGCTCTTTATTTTTGAGTAGGATGATTGGCATGTTTTTTTTTTTTTTTATATAAAAGAAAATCTATGTAAAGAAAAGTGGACAAGCTGGAGCTCATTTTCTTTGAACATTTCAGTTGGGAGTCTTTGAGACTCCTGTGGACTTCCTGTCTATGGACTATGGAAGTCCTGGGATTGGTGGAGAGGGACTGGGGAGCGATGGAGAATGACCTTTTGCTGCTGGGGGTCACAATGCTTCCTTATGGCCATGCTCGCCAACCCTAATTTGTCCTGTGTTACTTTACTCCTACACTTAAAACTGGGGCTGGAAAGGGAGAACGGTCTTGAAACTATGTGAATTTTTTAAAAAAAAGAATCATAATTCAAACTTGAAAGGTGTGTGTGTGTATATATAGAAATCAACTTTAAAAAAGCAATTTCAAAAAGAGAAAAAAAGAACGTTCACAGTACGTTATCCTTAGGCCTTTCTGCTTCCGTTTAGTGGAAATGCATTTCAGGAGACTTCTGTAATATATGACCTTTCTTTCAAAAATAAAAATGCTAATGTTATGCCATGAATATTTTTTTCTGAAGCAAAGTGGCAGTTCTCTGTATTTATATTTTTCTCTCCTCAGCTAGCAGGTGCTTGTAATTATCCACCTGAAGTCATTGATTACAATTTAATTGAATCTTTTGTAAATACTTTTTTGCTTTACTTTGAAGTATTTAATTAAGAAAATGAATGCCTCTTTTCATATCCGAAACTGGAAAAGATAATAAAGAACATTGCAAATAAGAAAACATTTTATTTTATTTTATTTTATCAAGAGAGGGGAGGACTGACATCCTACATGTAGTTTCACAGTAATGTCAGATTTCAAACTTTCGTCCCCCCTGTTGTCCTACAAAAAGAAACAAAGCCTTTACTGTACGTTTTTGTTTTTTGTCCTGTGGAATGAGGAAGCTGACTGCATTGTGTAAGTCTCACCCAATCAGAACACGGGTATGCGGCTCCGCCGCTGAGAAATTGCATTTGTTTGTTTTCATTGTCTCCACTTCTAAAGTTCTCCCATCTGCAGAGTTGTGTGTTCTGACTTCTCTTTTGTGCAGAAGTTCCATCTGTGTAGATCGAGGGTGGAAGAGGTGACTAGACCTTAATCCTACACAACAGATTTGTAAAGTCTGACCAATGTTACAGGTCAGTCATGATAGTAGAGATGTTTCAGGCCCCCTGTACTCAACCTATTCACCTTTTGTGTGTGCTCTGAGCACTCCTCATCCTAGTCCTCACTACTTATATGGATGTAACACACTATATTTGATCTCCATTTTATCACAATTCAGGCTCCTTTTCAGTTCTGTTTGTGAGGAGTACCTGGTTAATGGGATGGGGCTGTAGTTTTGGATATATTGGTAGGTAGAGGTTTTGAGATTTAGGTTTACTGAACACAATCATTAAAACAAAGTTAAGATTCAAGCATTCTCATATCGTAGTTAGTAATGGGTCTGTCTGATGACCGCGGTGGAAAAGGTGGCGGTCACAGACCAACAAGTTCCTGGGAGGGCTGAGTGCCAAGGCTGTCTGTGAACAGTGTAACGCCACCAAGGGCAACAAGGTCACCTCCATACTGCGCTGGGTCAAAGATGCAGGTACTGTCCAACCACTACACACTACACACATCCCGCCATGACTGTCCTAAGTAACAAACTCACTCAAACTACAACCTCCAACTTTGAGCATATCTTGGATCTAACTACGAGCAAGATTGATAGAGCTAAAGTTCTACACGCTGTGCTTCTGTCAGTCTCTCTCTTTCTCTCCTTTCCCTACTCTCATCCCTCTATCCCCCTGTCTGACCTGTCAGTACTCCCCTCTCAGGTCTCTTATCCCTTCCTGTCTGATCTTATGTCCAGTACTCCCCTCTTCAGGTCTCTCATCCCTCTATCCCTTCCTGTCTGACCTTATGTCCAGTACTCCCCTCTCAGGTCTCTCATCCCTCTATCCCTTCCTGTCTGACCTTATGTCCAGTACTCTCCTCTCAGGTCTCTCATCCCTCTATCCCTTCCTGTCTGATCTTATGTCCAGTACTCTCCTCCTCTCAGGTCTCTTATCCCCCCTGTCTGACCTTATGTCCAGTACTCTCCTCCTCTCAGTCCTCTATCCCCCCCCTGTCTGACCTTATGTCCAGTACTCCTCCTCCTCTCATCCCTCTATCCCCCCCTGTCTGATCTTATGTCCAGTACTCTCCTCCTCTCAGGTCTCTTATCCCCCCTGTCTGACCTTATGTCCAGTACTCTCCTCCTCTCATCCCTCTATCCCCCCCTGTCTGACCTTATGTCCAGTACTCTCCTCCTCTCATCCCTCTATCCCCCCCTGTCTGATCTTATGTCCAGTACTCTCCTCCTCTCAGGTCTCTTATCCCCCCTGTCTGACCTTATGTCCAGTACTCTCCTCCTCTCAGGTAAATCTGTACTGACTTGGCCTACCAGATGGTCCATAACATCCCTGACATAGAGGCTTACACTGCAGCAGCACCTTTTCATCCTCCTACAACGCACTCAAAAAACTCTTCCTCTCCACTTAATTTTTTGCCTTTTAATTTGATGATCAAAAGGCCTCCTCATGAAATAGTTGAATGTTGTATTCTGTGATAAACAGAAATCCTTCCTCTACCTTGTCTGTCCCCTTGATAGAAAATGTTCTGAATGGTAATGAAGGGGGAAATCCTCCCTGGCCGCTCTATATTTAATCCTGTTCATTCTGTTAACCCTTTGACCACTCCAGATAGTTGACAGCAGAGTTGGCAGCTCTTAGAGCCAGATTCCCTAGAAAACATTCAATCTCACACACTTCAATACACTACCTATAATGATGACATTCAACCTTACGCCCTCTTCAATGCACGACTTATGCAGACAACATTCAACCTCGTGCCCTCTTCAATACACTACTTATAATGAAGACATTCAACCTCGTGCCCTCTTCAATACACTACTTATAATGAAGACATTCAACCTCGTGCCCTCTTCAATACACTACTTATAATGAAGACATTCAACCTCGTGCCCTCTTCAATACACTACTTATGAAGACAACGTTCAACCTCATGCCTTCTTCAATACTCTACCTATAATGAAGACAACAGAGGTCTCTTTCATGTATGTACTCACTGTAATTTTACACCGCTGTAACCTTATCCCGGTGAACATTTTGTATTTTACCTCTGTTATTGGCTTATCTCGCCTGACTGTTACAGGAACCATTCTCTCCCCTGCTGACATGTTGATCCTTCAGTTACTGTCATGGTCTTATCTTTAGCCTCCTTTTATCCTTCACAATCAACAGGTTCCTCCCAGTTTTCAAAGACGGCTAACCAACAGATAAGCTAAAGAGGCCTAATAGGGCAGTACAGTATATGAGGCACTGGGGAAGACTCTCTGTGTCCCAAATGGCATCCTATTCCCTAGGCCAGGGTTTCCCAAACTGTCCTGTGGTCCCCCCCTGGGTGCACGTTTTGGTTTTTACCCTAGCACTACACAGCTGATTCAGGTTTGTTCATTGCTTTCATAATCACTAGAGGGAGCCATCTCACCATCTATGTGACTGCACATTATTGGAGATGTGAGTGCATAACACCTCTGCCTGTGTATTGCAGGGCTGTCTGCTCCCAAGGACATGAGTTTTGAGCTGTACAGGGACCCCAGCATGGAGCTGTCTATTCCAGGCATGGGGGAGGCAGCATCCTCAACAGAAAACCCATCCAGGCATTCTTCATACTGGTGAAGGGAAGCACCAGCTAGTCAGTCACCCAATCAGTCAGTCAACCAACCAGCTAGTCAGTCACTCAATCAGTCAGTCAACCAACCAATGATTCAGTCACTCAATCAGTCAGTCAACCAACCAATGATTCAGTCACTCAGTCAGTCAGTCAACCAACCAATGATTCAGTCACCCAATCAGTCAGTCAACCAACCAATGATTCAGTCACCCAATCAGTCAGTCAACCAACCAATGATTCAGTCACCCAATCAGTCAGTCAACCAACCAATGATTCAGTCACTCAATCATTCAATCAGTGGCAGTGTATTCCAAGGACCGGTTGGCACACCTCCTCACAGGCACTAAAGATAACACCTACATTGCCCACGTGATGGCACATGCCTCCTGCCTGGGCCCGCATGCCACTCGCTGTAAATCCCCCCCGCAGTAACACAGCGCCAACACACCCTGCCCTCACCCTCACCACCACCCTCACCACCGCTGTTATCACTACTCACACTACTCAGGGTTTGATGCTGTTGCTGTCTGCGTGTACGTTCATAAATGCGTGTGCGTGATTTGAGTGTTAAGACGTGTCATGTTGAAAGTCTGTGTAGTGAGAGTGTGTGGGAGTATATGTAAAAAATCAAGTTGTCGTAATTATATGCATACATGATTAACTGTTGTGTGTGTTTGCAGCTTTCCCCCAGAGGAGAGCCCTTCATCCATGCAGTCCATTGGACTCTATTACGTAAGTCATCATGAGTCCTTTATCCCCCAGTCTACTGTGTTATTAATGATCTACTCATTTATTATCCCATTTATGATTTGTGTGTGTGTTTGTTCCCGATTGTATTAGCAGATCCGAGGTCAGTGTTTATAGTGTGTTTAGTGGATGCTCTGTTCCCACACATTCCCTGTTAGTGTGCCTTTGATCAACTGCTACAGTCTGTTCATCAATAAAGTGATTCATAAAAGCAATCTAATAATGCCTGAGTAGGTGTTTTAATCTGTGGGAGATCAGGTGTTTTATGCACCTGTATTTTCAAATAGGTGTAGAGAGTGTAATGTGCTTGACTTCAGTCTTTCTAGTGGAAAGGCCATGAAATCACAGAGAAAATGTGGTGTGTGTGTGTGTGTGTCTCATTTAGTCTTAATTACTTGTGTCTGCTTGTGAGAACACACTGGTGTTGGTTGTCAGTCACCACAGGTGTTGGTTCTCGGTCTCTACATTTGATATATTTTCGTTCGGTGGGTCTATTGCTGAAGGTGCCAACCACGGTTTGGACAGAATCCGTGGGGAGATCCCAAAGATACTAAATGGTGTGTGGCCTATGGTCACTATCAGTCAGTTTTATGACCTGCCATTACAAATTATTGCGGCTGGGGAGGGCTGGAAAATATTCCTCTGTTTCTCTGAGGGGTGATCAGAGAGAAGAACTGTCCTCTCTTTAGACATCGTCATGGAAACTCTGAAACTGTCCATCGTGGCCCTGTGTCTGCTGGAGGTTTTGGGTTCAACCACCGCCAAAGGTAAGAGACCCACCTGACACACCTTTACTGTGGATGGTCACCTGACCTGACTTAGCTCTTCTCCTTCTCTTCTCATCAACTTACTTCTAGACAACCACTGTTACTTTCTTCTGTGTTGTGTTTGTCATTATATTCACTATTTTCATTGGTTTCTACTTTCCTTCTTCTCTCCTCTCAAACCTTCTCTCTCTCCTTTCACAAACATATCTCCTCACTCCATCCTCATACTCTCTCTCTCACTTGATCTCGTTCTTCTCCTACTCTTCCCTCTGCTTGATCTCCTCTCTCTTGTCTTAAACTTCTAAACTCTTAATGCCCTCTCTCTCTTCTCTCACTCCTCTGTTCATCCTCCTCTCTCACTTTGCTACACAAGTTCTCCTGAATCTGCCAAAACAACAAAGTAGGAAACAACTACTATATGCAGTCCTGATTGAAACCCATTACATTATGTAACTGAAGCCCTGTCTGTAGCCTCCTATCTATAGTATGTTACTGTAGCCTCCTATCTACAGTATGTTACTGTAGCCTCCTATCTACAGTATGTTACTGTAGCCTCCTATCTACAGTATGTTACTGTAGCCTCCTATCTATAGTATGTTACTGTAGCCTCCTATCTATAGTATATTACTGTAGCCTCCTATCTACAGTATGTTACTGTAGCCCCTATCTACAGTATGTTTCTGTAGCCTCCTATCTACACTATGTTACTGTAGCCTCCTATCTATAGTATATTACTGTAGCCTCCTATCTACAGTATGTTACTGTAGCCTCCTATCTATAGTATGTTACTGTAGCCTCCTATCTACAGTATGTTACTGTAGCCTCCTATGTATAGTATATTACTGTAGCCTCCTATACACAATATGTTACTGTAGCCTCCTATCTACAGTATGTTACTGTAGCCTCCTATCTACAGTATGTTACTGTAGCCTCCTATCTACAGTATGTTTAGTTGGAGGAGATAAAAGGCCAGGCTAGTGAAGTATGATAGTCTACACTATATGGCTCCTGGAGCCTGACCAAAGACCAGTCCATAGGGTGTTCATCTCTATCCCCTCTGATCTCTCTCTTCACACACTCTCTCAAAGTCCGCTCAAAGTAGATTATATAAAATATTACAGAAGTGAAAACATTTGTATTTGTACATTGCTGAAATGTTTGAAAAGTGTTGAGAGCTAGAGGAGTTCAGATAAGTGTGTTTTTGATAAGTGTGTTTTTGATAAGTGTGTTTTAGATAAGTATGTTTTAGATAAGTGTGTGTCCCTGCCCCAGTTGAGGAGGAGAACCCAGAGTTCTGGAGGGTCCAGGGTGCCAAGGCTTTGCAGGCGGCGCTGAACAGGAAATTGAACACCAATGTGGCCAAAAACATCATGCTCTTCCTGGGTGACGGTGAGTGACCAATCACCGTCCAAACCTCACATCAGTGGTGTAAGCGATGTAAATATGAACATTACAAAAATGTATTAAACGTACACAAATCGTACATAACAAATATATTGAGTAAAACTCATTCGAAGCCTCCTTTTCCAGCCTATTCTAATTCACCAGTTACAGTGCAGTTCAACCCCAGAGTATTTCTCTGTGCCATTCTCCCCAAGGTATGGGCATTACCACCATCACAGCAGCTCGAATCCTCAAGGGCCAGATGCACAACCAGTCTGGAGAGGAGACAGTGATGACCATGGACACTTTCCCCCATGCGGGCCTCCTCAAGGTACACACACACACACACACAGAGGAAGAGATTGCGTCTGTTGTGTATTGATGTGTATAATGATGTACACTACCGTTCAAAAGTTTTGGGTCACTTAGAAATGTCCTTGTTTTTGAAAGAAAAGCTATTTTCCTGTCCATTAAAATAACATCAAATTGATCAGAAATACAGTGTAGACATTGTTAATGTTGTAAATGGCTATTGTAGCTGGAAACGGCTGATTTTTAATGGAATATCTACATAGGCGTACAGAGGCCCATTATCAGCAACCATCAGTCCTGTGTTCCAATGGCACGTTGTGTTTGCTAATCCAAGTTTATCATTTTAAAAGGCTAATTGATCATTAGAAAACCATTTTGCAATTATGGTTAGGTCACGATGTGATTTGGGTGTCCATTCTAGGTTTTCTATTTCTTTGTTGGCCGGGTGTGGTTCCCAATCAGAGGCAGCTGTCGATCGTTGTCTCTGATTGGGGATCATACTTAGGCAGCCTTTTTCCCACCTTAGTTTGTGGGATCTTGTTTCTGGTTAGTAGCTGTGTAGCCTGCAGAACTTTACGTTTGTTTGTATTTTGTTGTTTGATCTGTGTTCAGCTAATAAATTATAATGTTCGCCTACCACGCTGCACCTTGGTCCGAGCCGTCAATCAACGAGCGTGACAGAAGATCCCACCACAAACGGACCAAGCAGCGTGGCCAGGAGGAGCAGACATGCTGGGGCACACGGGGTGGTTGGCGAAGCAGCAGGAGGCCCTGAAAGGGCTGACTGTGGAGGAGGAGGAGGCCGCTATGATAGAGGCCCTCCAAGACCTGCAGCTCAGCACTCTGAGAGAGGAGACCACCACCTTACGGGGGCTGATAGCTAAGAGGGAGCAGGAGATCTCCCTTCAGAGGGAGGCGCTGCAGGAGGCCCACAGGGATAAGGAGTCAGTGGATGCACTGAGAGAGGAGCTGGCCAGGCAACAGGAGGAGCTGAGAGAGGTGTTAACCCTCCAGCAGCAGAGAGCTCAGTCCTTAGAGCAGAGGTTGGCGGAGCCAGGTTTCAGACCAGAGCCAACTCCCTGCACTCGCGTTAAGGAGCGTGGGACCGTTCAGGCACCCTGTTATGCGGTGATACGCACTGTGTCTCCAGTGCGCATTCACAACCCGGTGCGCTTGGTGCCCGCGCCCCGCACTTGCCGGGCTAAAGTGAGCGTCCAGCCAGGACGGGTTGTGCCTGCTCCTCGCACCAAACCAGTGGTGCGTGTCCCCAGCCCGGTATGGCCCGTGCCTGCTCCTCGCACCAGACCAGTGGTGCGTGTCTCCAGTCTGGTACGGCCCGTGCCTGCTCCTCGCACCAAACCAGTGGTGCGTGTCCCCAGTCCGGTACGGCCCGTTCCAGCGCCACGCACCCGACATCCAGCGAGGGTCCTCTGCTCCAGTCCGGTGCCAGATTAGTCCGCTCCACCGGTGCCTAGTCCAGCTCCGGTCAGCTGCTCCAGTCCGGTGCCAGAATAGTCCGCTCCACCGGGGTCCAGTTCAGCTCCGGTCAGCGGCTCCACTCCAGTGCCAGAGTAGTCCGCTCCACCGGTGCCAAGTCCAGCTCCGGTTAGCTGCTCCACTCCAGTGCGGGAGCAGTCCGCTCCACCAGTGTCTAGTCCAGCTCCGGTTATCTGCTCTTCCCCCATGCCGTAGCCATCCGCTCCACCGAGGTCTGAGCCGGAGCCAGATGTCAACCCCTCTCCGGGGTCGAGGGCTCCCACACCAGGGTCCAGACAGGGCTTGGTGCATCACGGGAGGACTGCTGGGCCGGGACCAGACATCAGCCCCTCTCCAGGGTCGAGGGCTCCCACACCAGGGTTCGGACAGGGTTTGGTGCATTGTGGGAGGACTGAGAGGGGAAGCATCGCGCCGGGGTCCAGAACGGACCGGGTGTGCAACGGGGAGGCAGGAAGGGAGACGAGGTTAATACCTATGTCGCACCCGGAGCCGCCACCGAGGCTAGATGCCCACCCGGACCCTCCCCTAATGAGTCAGGTTGTTGCGGCCGGAGTCCGCACCTTTGGGGGGGGGGGGGGTACTGTCACGCCCAAATCACCGGTGTGATTTCGGTGTCCATTCTAGGTTTTCTATTTCTTTGTTGGCCGGGTGTGGTTCCCAATCAGAGGCAGCTGTCGATCGTTGTCTCTGATTGAGGATCATACTTAGGCAGCCTTTTTCCCACCTTAGTATGTGGGATCTTGTTTCTGGTTAGTAGCTGTGTAGCCTGCAGAACTTTACGTTCGTTTGTATTTTGTTGTTTGATCTGTATTCAGTTAATAAATTATAATGTTCGCCTACCACGCTGCACCTTGGTCCGAGTCGTCAATCAACGAGCGTGACAAGTATCTGGAGCATCAGCAATTGTGGGTTCGATTACAGAATCAAAATGGCCAGAAACAAATAACTTTCTTCTAAAACTCGTCAATCTGTTCTTGTTCTGAGAAATGAAGGCTATTCCATGCGAGAAATTGCCAAGAAACTGAAGATCTTGTACAACGCTGTGTACAACTCTCTTCACACCAGTCTCAACGTCAACAGTGAAGAGGCGACTCCAGGATGCTGACCTTCTAGGCAGAGTTGCGAAGAAAAAGCCAGACTGGCCAATAAAAATAAAAGATTAAGATGGGCAGTCTGAGATATGGCTTTTTCTTTGCAACTCTGCCTAGAAGGTCAGCATCCCGGAGTCGCCTCTTCACTGTTGACGTTGAGACTGGTGTTTTGGTGGTACTATTTAATGAAGCTGCCAGTTGAGGACCTGTGAGGCGTCTGTTTCTCAAACTAGACATTCTAATGTATTTGTCCTCTTGCTCAGTTGTGCACCAGGGCCTCCCACTCCTCTTTCTATTCTGGTTAGAGCCAGTTTGCGCTGTTCTGTGACGGGAGTAGTACCCAGAGTTGTACGAGATCTTCAGTTTCTTGGCAATTTCTCGCATAGAATAGCCTTCATTTCTCAGAACAAGAATAGACTGACGAGTTTCAGAAGAAAGTTATTTGTTTCTGGCCATTTTGAGCCTGTAATCGAACCCACAATTGCTGATGTTCCAGATACTCAACTAGTCTCAAGAAGGCCAGTTTTATTGCTTCTTTAATCAGCACAACAGTTTTCAGCTGTGCTAACATAATTGCAGAAGGGTTTTCTAATGTTCAATTAGCCTTTTTAAAATTATAAACTTGGATTAGCAAACACAACGTGCCATTGGAACACAGGACTGATGGTTGCTGATAATGGGCCTCTGTACGCCTATGTAGATATTCCATTAAAAATCAGCCGTTTCCAGCTACAATAGCCATTTACAACATTAACAATGTCTACACTGTATTTCTGATCAATTTGAAGTTATTTTAATGGACAAAATAATACATTTTCTTTTGAAAACAAGGACATTTCTAAGTGACCCCAAACTTTTGAACGGTAGTGTATGTATGAGGTGCAAGCTCATGCGTACATATGTGTCCTGTGTACTTATGCATTGATTTTTGATGTCCTGATGCAGGTGTGTAGTTTATTAATGTGTATTCCTTTCTATCCCTTAATGTCTGCATGTACTGTCTGTCTGCAGACGTACAGTGTTGACTTCCAGATCCCTGACAGTTCATCCACAGCCACAGCCTACCTCTGTGGTGTTAAGACCAACCTGAACACGGTCGGGGTGAACGCTGCTGCACGCAACGGAATCTGCAAGACCCAGAAGGGCAACGAGGTCACCTCCATTCTCAAGTGGGCCAAAGATGCTGGTAGGAACCATATCTCTGTCCAACTTCCCACATCACTAGGGCCCCGAGTTTGTCCTGATCCAGTTGACTTACCAGGAAAACCTTACAGCCGATAACTAGGGTCCAGAGTTTGTCCTGATCCAGTTGACTTATTAGGAAAACCTTACAGCCGATAACTAGGGTCCAGAGTTTGTCCTGGACAGGTTATATAATCAGGTGGGTGTTAGATACCGATACAAAGCACAAATAAACATGAGAGATAACAGTTGGCTAGATGTTCAGTTGTGTCGATCAGCACCCTCGATAGCTGGAGTCTGGGCCCTCTGGCTTCTCTGGTGATCAGGTGTTGTGGTCTGGTGTAATACTGTGCTGCTGATGGAGGCAGGTGAATGTTACCTTGACTGTTATCATGTGCCCTTATCACCAACCATAAATATATCATAACTCCACAGCCCTGACCCCTACAAAGAAAACTGATATCCTTTCAGAGAGAGAGCGAGAGAGAACTCAAAAGCAACCGTGTGTTTGATAGAGAGAGCAATATAGAAAGCGCTTCCAGCAGCAGTAAAACTGATGAATTGCTTGCTATGCGCATAGCAACTGTAAATATTCTAATTTCAATGCCGTATAATGTGATAGCTGACACACAAACACAGCCACATGGCTATATCACACATTAAATATACAGTTAGTATTCAAACCAAGGTAGAGTATTTTGATAGTCAACAAAGTTTGACGGAAAACTTTCTCCCTGACCCTCTCCCTCCCTCCTTCCTTCCTGATTTCCTCCTCTCCCACCTTTCTTCTTTCCTTACCTCTCACTCTTCCTCCTTCCCACCCTCATTCCCTCCTAGGTAAATCCGTTGGCATCGTCACGACAACGCGGGTCCAGCATGCCACTCCTGCCGCAACCTATGCCCACAGTGCCAGCAGGAAGTGGTACAGCGATGCAGACGTGCCCGCCTCCGCCAAGAAAGAAGGATGCACAGACATCGCCTCTCAGCTCCTCAACAACACTGACATTGATGTGAGCAGTCAGAACCCCTCTATTGACCCAGATAGTTATTGTTATTCATGTCCTCTAAGTTCCTCTATTGACCCAGAGAGTTATCGTTATTCATGGGCTCTCAGCTCCTTTATTGACCCAGAGAGTTATTGTTATTCATGCCCTCTCAGCTCCTCAACAACACTGACATTGATGTGAGCAGTCAGAACCCCTCTATTGACCCAGAGAGTTATCGTTATTCATTAGATCTCAGCTCCTCTATTGACCCAGAGAGTTATTATTATTCATGGGCTCTCAGCTCCTCTATTGACCCAGATAGTTATTGTTATTCATGGGCTCTCAGCTCCTCTATTGACCCAGAGAGTTATTGTTATTCATGGGCTCTCAGCTCCTCTATTGACCCAGAGAGTTATTGTTATTCATGGGCTCTCAGCTCCTCTATTGACCCAGAGAGTTATTGTTATTCATGGGCTCTCAGCTCCTCTATTGACCCAGAGAGTTATTGTTATTCATGGGCTCTCAGCTCCTCTATTGACCCAGAGAGTTATTGTTATTCATGGGCTCTCAGCTCCTCTATTGACCCAGAGAGTTATTGTTATTCATGGTCTCAATGGGTCAACAGAGGAGCTGTGAGTCCATGAATAACAATAACTCTCTGGGTCAATAGAGGAGCTGAGAGACCATGAATAACAATAACTCTAAGCTCCTCTATTGACCCAAAGAGTTATTGTTATTCATGGCCTCTCAGCTTCTCCATTGACCCAGAGAGTTATAGTTATCTGGTTGGGAGCAAGCTGATCGCCTCACAGTTGTTATTGTTATTAAATATCAACCCTGACCATGAACATGAATGATGTGTCCGTCTCCAGGTGATCATCGGCGGGGGGAGGAAGTACATGACCCCTAAGGGCACCTGGGACCCAGAGTACCCCCGAGACATGGCCTCCAGTGGCAAGAGACAGGACGGACGCCACCTCATCTCTGAGTGGCAGAAGATGAAAGTCGGAAAGGTAGAGAGAGAAAAAAACAGTGGAACAATAAATTGACACACAACATTGGTTAATTCAGGCACAAATTTGCCCAAAGACGTGTATTCAGACTGCCCCTCTCTCTCTCCTTCTCTGTCTGTATGTCTGCCTGCCTGCCTGCCTGTCTGTCTGTCTGTCTGTCTGCCTGCTTGCCTGTGTGTGTGACAGGTGGCTCGTTACGTGTGGAACAGGACTGACTTTGACGCTGTGGACCCTGACACCACTGACTACCTTATGGGTAAAAGATTGTAGTATTCGGTCAATTCTTCTGTGTATTCTGGAAAGTTGGGTATTTGAAGGTCACAACAAACATTACTGCTGATGTTTCCTGTATATCAATAGACACTGGGGTGTCCTTGGTTGTTTCACTTTCTTACACTTTGCAATAGAGTACCTGATCCTGCCTTATCTATTCTTACATCACTTAGCCTACATACAGTGGGGAGAACAAGTATTTGATACACTGCCGATTTTGCAGGTTTTCCTACTTACAAAGCATGTAGAGGTCTGTAATTTTTATCATAGGTACACTTCAACTGTGAGAGACGGAATCTAAAACAAAAATCCAAAAAATCACATTGTATGATTTTTAAGTAATTAATTTGCATTTTATTGCATGACATAAGTATTTGATCACCAACCAACCAGTAAGAATTCCGGCTCTCACAGACCTGTTAGTTTTTCTTTAAGAAGCCCTCCTGTTCTCCACTCATTACCTGTATTAACTGCACCTGTTTGAACTCGTTACCTGTATAAAAGACACCTGTCCACACACTCAATCAAACAGACTCCAACCTCTCCACAATGGCCAAGACCAGAGAGCCGTGTTAAGGACATCAGGGATAAAATTGTAGACCTGCACAAGGCTGGGATGGGCTACAGGACAATAGGCAAGCAGCTTGGTGAGAAGGCAACAACTGTTGGCGCAATTATTAGAAAATGGAAGAAGTTCAAGATGACGGTCAATCACCCTCGGTCTGGGGCTCCATGCAAGATTTCACCTTGTGGGGCATCAAAGATCATGAGGAAGGTGAGGGATCAGCCCAGAACTACACGGCAGGACCTGGTCAATGACCTGAAGAGAGCTGGGACCACAGTCTCAAAGAAAACCATTAGTAACACACTACGCCGTCATGGATTAAAATCCTGCAGCGCACGCAAGGTCCCCCTGCTCAAGCCAGCGCATGTCCAGGCCCATCTGAAGTTTGCCAATGACCATCTGGATGATCCAGAGGAGAAATGGGAGAAGGTCATGTGGTCTGATGAGACAAAAATAGAGCTTTTTGGTCTAAACTCCACTCGCCGTGTTTGGAGGAAGAAGAAGGATGAGTACAACCCCAAGAACACCATCCCAACCGTGAAGCATGGAGGTGGAAACATCATTCTTTGGGGATGCTTTTCTGCAAAGGGGACAGGACGACTGCACCGTATTGAGGGGAGGATGGATGGGGCCATGTATCGCGAGATCTTGGCCAACAACCTCCTTCCCTCAGTAAGAGCATTGAAGATGGGTCGTGGCTGGGTCTTCCAGCATGACAACGACCCGAAACACACAGCCAGGGCAACTAAGGAGTGGCTCCGTAAGAAGCATCTCAAGGTCCTGGAGTGGCCTAGCCAGTCTCCAGACCTGAACCCAATAGAAAATCTTTGGAGGGAGCTGAAAGTCCGTATCGCCCAGCGACAGCCCCGAAACCTGAAGGATCTGGAGAAGGTCTGTATGGAGGAGTGGGCCAAAATCCCTGCTGCAGTGTGTGCAAACCTGGTCAAGACCTACAGGAAACGTATGATCTCTGTAATTGCAAACAAAGGTTTCTGTACCAAATATTAAGTTCTGCTTTTCTGATGTATCAAATACTTATGTCATGCAATAAAATGCTAATTAATTACTTAAAAATCATACAATGTGATTTTCTGGATTTTTGTTTTAGATTCTGTCTCTCACAGTTGAAGTGTACCTATGATAATAATTACAGACCTCTACATGCTTTGTAAGTAGGAAAACCTGCAAAATCGGCAGTGTATCAAATACTTGTTCTCCCCACTGTATATGTATTGTGAACATTGACTAAGCTGATACTGACCCATTTTATCACACATAACATTTTTACCGGCTGAAGCGTATTGATTACGCTCTACAACTTTTTTATTTTCTTACCTTACCTGATCAACCCTGTTCCCTGCAGCCCTGTTTGAGCCTGGTGACCTGCGCTTCGACGTGGAGAGAGACCCCACCATGGACCCGTCCATCGCTGAGACCACAGAAAAGGCCATCCGCATCCTCAGCAAAAACCCCAAGGGATTCTTCCTCCTGGTTGAAGGTGAGCAAAGGGTTAACCAAGCTGTCAGTCAAAGAATCCATCCATTAACCAAATCCCAACGGGTTTCTCCTTAAAATAGGTGCACGGTTGTTTGTTAAAATATAATCAATCTATTGATCGAATAATCACACCACTTGCTTATATAATTGAACACCAAGATGCATTGGTTTCAATGTGTGTGTACCCGTATTTTTGAATCTTGAGTCAATATAGAGGTTAGTTAGTTGCTGTTCTGATGCTATGTGTGCCTCTCAGCAAGACGGTTAGGGACTGCAGTGCACTACATGTATCTGCAGACTGTAGTAGGATCTGCATGTACCTGCATGTGTTTGCCACAGTGTGAGGACGTCACGAATTCAGCCGAAGCTGCCCCTCCTCCTTGCTCGAGCAGGTTTCGGCGTTCGTCGTCACCGGCTTACTAGCCACTACCGCTCCATTTATCATCACTCCACTTGTCTTGTCTTGTCAATCACACACACCTGGGACTCATTCCCTCATTAGCCTGTGTATAAGTGTTCCCTCTGCCCCCTTGTCCTTTGTGAGTGATTGTTTGTTGTGAGAGTGGGTAGCTCGGTTGAGCTACTCTTTACTTGTATGCAGCCAAGGTTGATTTTCCCTTGTGCTAGTTTTGTTCTGTCGCTATATGCGCTACAGTATTGTACACTGAATAAACTTTTGATTTCAGTGTTTTACCTCCTGCGCCTGACTCTGTCATTCACACCTCATCACAGAGGAGGGGGAACATTATGTTGTGATGCGACATATTACTGTTCCACAGCGGTGGCTCTTGGACCCAGGCCCTCATCCATCCTACCTTTAATCTGAGGCACCACCCTGGGACCTGATTGTGCTGTTGAGCGTCTTGCATCTACAACAATGGGTTTTAAATAACACATAGCAGCAGGCTTTAAATAGAGCTGGGCATATGGTGCACTGTACCCTCTCCTCCTGCTCCCTGGGGACCCAACATATTAGCCCAACTCCTCTCCACTTTCTGACTGCACTGATGAGAGGAGAGCAGGAGCTAGGTTGGTTTTAATTGGCTTAATAAGTTACACGTGTAGTAGTGTCATTTCAACTTTATTTCAACATTATTCCAATGTTATTAGTGTTGTTTTTATTTGAATACCAGGAGCCAGTGTGTCACGACTTCCGCCGAGGCTGCCTCCCCTCCTTGTTCGGGCAGGTTTTGGCGTTCGACGTCACCGGCTTACTAGCTACTGCCGATCCATTTATCATCACTCCATTTGTCTTGTCTTATCAATCACACACACCTGGTCCTTATCCCTCATTAGTCATTGTATAAGTGTTCCCTCTGCTTCCTTGTCTGTGTGGGTGATTGTTTGTAGTGAGCTGTGTGTAGCTCGGTTGAGCTACACTTACCTTGTTGTTGCCAGGGTAGAATTTTCCCCTGTGCCTATGTATTATTGGATTCTACCGTTTCAGTGTATTTGCCAGGGATGAGAGTTTCCCCTGTGCCTGTTTCGTTGATTGCTATTTGAGCGCATTTGTGTGTCAACAAACGAATATACGCTGTATTCGGTGATTACCCACCTGCGCCTGACTCCTTTCATCACACAGTGGCTCCTTGTCCCTTACACACAGACCTAGGGTCAGCTTACCTTCCCCCAATCTTAACCTTAAATCATTAGAGATGACACCAAAATACTGATCTTAGATCAGTGTTTATGGGTAACTTCATCCTTCTCTTTCTCTCTCTGTGTGTCAGGTGGGCGTATCGACCAGGGCCACCATGCCAGCAGAGCCTCCATGGCGTTGCACGAGACGGTTGCCTTTGACAACGCTGTCGCCAAGGGCCTGGAGCTGACCAATGAGGAGGAGACTCTCACCCTGGTGACAGCTGACCACTCCCACGCCTTCACCTTCAACGGATACCCCTTCAGAGGGCAAAGCATTCTGGGTAAGCAATGACCTCACAGAAACAACTTTCTGCATGGATTATGGTTGATGGTTTTCCCCATAGAGTTAGAGTTGGTTATTTTAGTCCTCATTCTGATTATAGGGCTTTTGCACTTCAGTGTTTTTATAATTAAAGGAATGTTTGGACAACAGTTTTTGGTGGTTCCATGATTAGAAGTTTGGGTCAGGTCATGCTAAATTCATGAAATTACCAATAGTTTAATTGGTTTAGTAATGCTCTTATGTAGTGAAGCAGTAGGCATTTCTCCTCCCTTTACATACACACACACACCCCTCCTCTGTGGACAGGACGTCCTAATTCTGCCACCTCTCCCCCCACCTTTCTGCTCTGCACCTTCCTTCCCCAAGGTGTCACACCTCACAGCTGTGATGACATCAGAGGTGGTGGTGGTGTGCTCCACTAGACTGCCTCAGCCTCCATCTGGGAGACGCCACTGGCACTTTGACATTTCCTCTCCCCTGCAATTACAGAGGAAAACAAACAGCTTAGATCGTTCCCTCCCCTTTCCACCTCTCCCTCCCTCTATCACTTCCTCTGAGACTCCCCAGCGTTCAGGCCTCCCTCCCTCCCTCCCTCTCCTCTCCTCCCTCCCTCCGCCTCTCCCTCTCTCTCTCTGTGGCTCCCCATTGTTCAGCCCTCTCTCTCGCTCTCTCTCTGTCTCTGTGTCTGTGTGTGTGTGTGTGGCTCCCCAGTGGTCCAGCCTCCCAGGTCTTGGTGATTAATGCAGTAGTGAAACACTGAGCAGTTCATCAGTAGGGGCTGGAAAGTCTAACATCTAATCTGTCTGGAGACAACCTGCTCGACCCCTAACTCCCTCGGGACACACTCCTCTCTCACTGTGTGTGTAAGACCTTTAAATTGTGATTAATCCCGCTGTGTGTCTCCCACCTCTCACAGGGAAATCTCCTCTGTATGGGAAGGATATGCTGCCTTACACAACCCTGATGTACGGAAACGGCCCTGGATACAAAGTCGTAGACAACAAGCGTCCTGACATCCGTAAAGTGGACACAAGTAAGAAACCAAAACTATCTTCTGTTCTTGTATAGCTTTCCTCTCTGTACTCTCCTCCCTTCTCCTTTGACCTTCTTGATAAATATCACTCCTGCAGAATGTTTATCTCTCCAGTCAATATTCACATATGTATTCACCATTTACATATTTATTCACCTTGGTCAGAGTCGAAGGACTACGTGCAGCTGTCTGCGGTGCCCCTGGACACTGAGACCCATGGTGGGGAGGATGTGGCGGTGCTGGCCCGCGGCCCCATGGCCCACCTCTTCCATGGGGTCCAGGAGCAGAGTTACCTTGCCCACGCCATGGCCTACGCTGGCTGTGTGGGACGGGACCTCAGGCACTGTGAAGGTAGACCTCAACACACCAACACCAAGAGGATCCTTGTCACTACTACTGATGATGATAGGAACAGTGCACCATCCCAGGTATCCTCCATCTCTCTGGTCACTGCCCTACTGGCTGCCCTGCTGCACTGAGAGACTGGTGGAGAAGAGGGAGGGAGGGAGAGAAAGCGAGAATGAAAGAGATCCATCTGTTTTGCTACTCCTCTTAAACAAAGAAATGTGCTCTGCACCAAAATGATTTTGTCAAATTATGTAAATTATGAGAATACTCTAATTTGTATATGTTTATATTTAAATAAATTATATATTTGCTGCTAATGAAAAGTATATGGACTAGAAGATGAGCATTCTGCCAACTTTGTCTTCATTTCAGCTCTGAGTCAATAATAACACATTGGTTAGTCAGAGAAAAGTGCTGTAGGCCTATTTAGTGGTGTGAGGAAACCATAGAAGGATTAGGATTGGGGAATGACTAGTTCCCTCCTGGCGGCCAAAGCCGTTTGATCTCCTATTCTAATTTCTACGTCGCTAATTGAGGGTCGAGGGCGGCAAGTGTTTGATGACATTACTACAGCAGGTCATTAATAATGCACAATATTTTAAGATCCCATATTTCTGTCCCATAATGACAGATTGTTGTAATTATTGTGTACAGCTGTTGCAGAGTTGAGCTATTACGAGTGACATGACCCTCTAATTTTTAAAGCATCAGGTCATCGTTCCCTTTCTAGACACCCTTCCAACTACTGTCATTGTATTTATGTGTAATTGTATAATCCACCATCCGCGTAGGCTACTTGTCGAGCAAATAAGAGGACCACAATGGAAATAAGTCTGTAGACTACTTGTGTGTTTTGTGTAGCCTACTGTGTATTGTGAAATAACGTTCATTCATTCACCACGCCGTCCTTTCCTATTGTAATGATCCAACTGCTATCTCAGACAAGCCTATTACAATAGTCAGTTGGATCCTTGAGCTATTCATTGATTTGCAATATAGCCTAAGCAAATCTGTCTCGTGCGTCTGGCTTCAAACCGCATCACCCCTCTGCACCGCGCAACATGCCTTCTCTCGACTCAGGTGCTGTTACACAATACGGCCTTTTGGTGCCGCTACAATACAAAGAAAACAGCTCTGCGGCATGTTGTGTGTGATAACTTCAGGTTGCTGCAAATGTGATATGTTGCGAAATCGAGACAGATTGCGCAACGGTGGGTGAAAGGTATTGGACAGGTAGGACAATAGCTTTCAAAGGAGGGTGAAAAAGGAGGAAAAAACAACAACAACGAGCTCCTACACTCTAAAAATTAGGGGTTCAACAAGGGTTCTTCTGTCCTCAAAGTTCCTTGAAGAACCTTAGGGTTTTTGGCACTGAAATATGGCCACAAAAGGTTATTCCAAGAACCCCATAGGAGGTTGGGTTAATCAAGGAACCTCTTTAGTTCTTGCAGGAACCAAACTGCCCATCTGAAATATTTTGATTTGATAAGACAGCAGGTGCAGGCACTTAACTGACAAATGGAAAGATCTAAATTTAAGGTAAGGTTTCTCATCATCTAAAATGATATTGTTTTATGATGATACCATCGATCTTTTCATATTTGTGCGAATGGCTGTTATTTGACACTTTCTCCCTTTTTAGAAATTTTGAAAATGGACACAATTCAATGGATATGAATCAACAAAGAGGTAAGAACATGTAACAATATGTTGAAGGCTATAGCTGCATTGGGCGCAGATGACTGAACGGCTGACTCACTTACAGTGCCTTGCAAAGGTATTCATCCCCCTTGGCGTTTTTCCTATTTTGTTGCATTACAACCTGTAATTTAAATTGATTTTTATTTTATTTCATGTAATGGACATACACAAAATAGTCCAAATTGGTGAAGTGAAATGAAAAATATAACTTGTTTCAAAAAATTCTAAAAAATAAATAACGGAAAAGTGGAGCTTGCATATGTATACACCCGCTTTGCTATGAAGCCCCTAAATAAGATCTGGTGCAACCAATTACTTCAGAAGTCACATAATTAATTAAATAAAGTCCACCTGTGTGCAATCTAAGTGTCACATGATCTGTCACATGATCTCAGTATATACAGTTGAAGTCGGAAGTTTACATACACTTAGGTTGGAGTCATTAAAACTCGTTTTTCGACCACTCCACAAATTTCTTGTTAACAAACTATAGTTTTGGCAAGTCGGTTAGGACATCTACTTTGTGCATGACACAAGTAATTTTTCCAACAGTTGTTTACAGACAGATTATTTCACTTATAATTCACTGTATCACAATTCCAGTGGGTCAGAAGTTTACATACACTAAGTTGACTGTGCCTTTAAACAGCTTGGAAAATTCCAGAAAATGATGTCATGGCTTTAGATGCTTCTGATAGGCTAATTGACATAATTTGGGCCCCCTGTATTTCAGTTGGTAGAGCATGGCGCTTGCAACGCCAGGGTTGTGGGTTCGTTTCCCACTGGGGGCCAGTATAAAAAATAAAAAAAAACATGTATGCACTCACTAACTGTAAGTCGCTCTGGATAAGAGCGTCTGCTAAATGACTAAAATGTAAAATTTGAGTCAATTGGAGGTGTACCTATGGATGTATTTCAAGGCCTACCTTCAAACTCAGCGCCTCTTTGCTTGACATCATGGGAAAATCAAAAGAAATCAGCCAAGACCTCTGCATTTGTTTTGTAGACCTCCACAAGTCTGGTTCATCCTTGGGAGTAATTTCCAAACGCCTGAAGGTACCACGTTCATCTGTACAAACAATAGTACGCAAGTATAAACACCATGGGACCATGCAGCCGTCATACCGCTCAGGAAGGAGACACGTTCTGTCTCCTAGAGATGAACGTACTTTGGAGCGAAAAGTGCAAATCAATCCCAGAACAACAGCAAAGGACCTTGTGAAGATGCTGGAGGAAACAGGTACAAAAGTATCTATGTCCACAGTAAAACGAGTCCTATATCGACATAACCTGAAAGGCCGCTCAGCAAGGAAGAAGCCACTTCTCCAAAACCGCCATAAAAAAGCCAGACTACGGTTTGCAACTGCACATGGGGAAAAAGACCGTACTTTTTGGAGAAATGTCCTCTGGTCTGATGAAACAAAAATAGAACTGTTTGGCCATAATGACCATCGTTATGTTTGGAGGAAAAAGGGGGATGCTTGCAAGCCGAAGAACACCATCCCAACCATGAAGCACGGGGGTGGCAGCATCATGCTGTGGGGTTGCTTTGCTGCAGGAGGGACTGGTGCACTTCACAAAATAGATGGCATCATGAGGAAGGAAAATGATGTGGATATATTGAAGCAACATCTCAAGACATCAGTCAGGAAGTTAAAGCTTGGTTGCAAATGGGTCTTCCAAATGCACAATGACCCCAAGCATACTTCCAAAGTTGTGGCAAAATGGCTTAAGGACAACAAAGTCAAGGTATTGGAGTGGCCATCACAAGCCCTGACCTCAATCCTATAAAAAATGTGTGGGCAGAACTGAAAAAGCGTGTGTGAGTAAGGAGGCCTACAAACCTGACTCAGTTACACCTGCTCTGTCAGGAGGAATGGGACAAAATTCACCCAACTTATTGTGGGAAGCTTGTGGAAGGCTACCTGAAATGTTTGACCCAAGGTAAACAATTTAAAGGCAATGCTACCAAATACTAATTGGGTGTATGTAAACTTCTGACCCAATGGGAATGTGATGAAAGAAATAAAAGCTGAAATAAATCATTCTCTCTACTATTATTCTGACATTTCACATTCTTAAAATAAAGTGGTGATCATAACTGACCTAAGACAGGGAATGTTTACTAGGATTAAATGTCAGGAATTGTGAAAAACTGAGTTTAAATGTATTTGGCTAAGGTGTATGTAAACTTCCGACTTCAACTGTATACACCTGTTCTGAAAGGCCCCAGTCTGCAACACCACTAAGCAAGGAGCACCACCAAGCAAGCGGCCCCATGAAGACCAAGGAGCTCTCCAAACAGGTCAGGGACAAAGTTGTGGAGAAGTACAGATCAGGGTTGGGTTATAAAAAAATATCTGAAATTTTGAACATCCCACGGAGCACCATTAAATCCATTATTAAAAAATTGAAAGAATATGGCACCACAACAAACCTGTCGAGAGAGCCGCCCACCAAAACTCACGGACCAGGCAAGGAGGGCATTCATCAGAGAGGCAACAAAGAGACCAAAGATAACCCTGAACGAGCTGCAAAGCTACACAGCGGAGGTTGGAGTATCTGTCCATAGGACCACTTTAAGCTGTACACTCCACAGAGCTGGGCTTTACGGAAGAGTGGCCAGAAAAAAGCCATTGCTTAAAGAAAAAAATAAGCAAACACGTTTGGTGTTCGCCAAAAGGAATGTGGGAGACTACCCAAACATATGGAAGAAGGTACTCTGGTCAAAAGTGACTAAAATTGAGTTTTTGGGCCGTCAAGGAAAACGCTATGTCTGGCGCAAACCCAACACCTCTCGTCACCCCGAGAACACTATCCCCATAGTGAAGTATGGTGGTGGCAGCATCATGCTGTGGGGATGTTTTTCATTGGCAGGGACTGGGAAACTGGTCAGAATTGAAGGAATGATGGATGATGCTAAATACAGGGAAATTATTGAGGGAAACCTGTTTCAATCTTCCAGAGATTTGAGACTGGGACGGAGGTTCACCTTCCAGCAGGACAATGACCCTAAGCATACTGCTAAAGCAACACTTGAGTGGTTTAAGGGGAAACATTTAAATGTCTTGGAATGGCCTAGTCAAAGCCCAGACCTCAATCCAATTGAGAATCTGTGGTATGACTTAAAGATTGCTGTACACCAGCGGAACCCATCCAACGTGAAGGAGCTGGAGCAGTTTTGCCTTGAAGAATGGGCAAGAATCCCAGTGGCTAGATGTGCCAAGCTTATAGAGACATACCCCAAGAGACTTGCAGCTGTAATTGCTGCAAAAGGTGGCTCTGCAAAGTATTGACTTTGGGGGGGTGAATAGTTATGCACGCTCAAGTTCTGTTTTTTTTCTTCCTATTTCTTGTTTGTTTCACCATAAAACATATTTTGCATCTTCAAAGTGGTAGGCATGTTGTGTACATCAAATGATACAAACCACCCCAAAAATCCATTTTAATTCCAGGTTGTAAGGCAACAAAATAGGAAAACTGGGGGGTGAATACTTTCGCAAGCCACTGTATTTGTGTGTGTCTGCAGGTATACTGACAAGGCACCCAAAGGAATATAAAATTGGTATTGGTTTGTCTCATAATGTTAAGCAGATCACATGTATCAACTACAAATAATTTGAATGAATGGTTTCTCTAAAACCTTCTAGGACTCAGTCACAGCAGCCATTTTCCTCCTCCCATACCTCTTCAATGAAGATCCCAGAGGCCTCTACATTATGGACAAGGTATGAAAACCGTTGTCAAAAGTGACATTTTATTTAATTCACATAATTTTTACCACAAAGTCCAAGATATGAATACTGTTGTGTGCACGTTTTGTTAATCATCTGTATAATTATATATTTTTGGTATTGAGAGACTTCACCCTCCCTACACCTCTGGTGAATATAACAGGAAACCTGTTCGATCCCCATGCACTGCAAAATCATTCTGGCTATGGATAGCCTAGAGAGGACATCGACATCAACACGCCAGAGGATATACAGTGAGGGAAAAAAGTATTTGATCCCCTGCTGATTTTGTACGTTTGCCCACTGACAAAGACATGATCAGTCTATAATTTTAATGGTAGGTTTATTTGAACAGTGAGAGACAGAATAACAACAAAAAAAT